ATTTTGACGATACAGGTATGCATAAGCTCATATATCAAGAAATATTATGTTTATGCAGAAACAGAACATAATTACTTTATCTCTTTTTGCGGTTTCACTTAAATACTGACGAGAAAAAACGCAAAGAAAAACATGGCTTGACGCCTCAAACACCGAAAAACTTGAAGTGTAATTAGTAACGAATAACCTAACTATGTTACTTGAAATGGTAACGTAAGTACGTTACCCGTGACTGTGTCGAAAAAGTAACGAGTAGGTTACTACGTTACTGAAAAAAGTAACGCGTTCCTGGTAACGCCGTTACTTGTAACGTGTTACCACCAAGACTGCAGAATGGACAAAGCGTTCCTGCTTGTCATGGCTTGTGGTCATGAGACTAGGAAAAATAGCATACCTTGACTCGAAGACGCTGTGTGTATTTATTTAATTAATAAATACACTTCCGCAGACCCACGGTCTGCTGATCCCGCCGGCGGTGCGGAAACGGACTCGAAGTAATCGTAGGCCTCGAGAGACTTGTACGCCTGCTCCGTGTGGGCCGTGAACTGGCTTGGCGAAAAAAAACTAAATAAACTACGACATGAGCCGTCGACTTCGGTGGCAGCAACTTCACGTCGGAAGTCCAGCAGGCCTTGTTTACGGCGTACGGATCCTCGTAGGCAACGCCGTCCACGCACAGTTTGTTTCGATACCGCCGCCGTTCAGGCTCGGGTAGCGAGCTCAAATAGTCGGACAGAGCATGCAACATACGTTGCCAGGAAATACGATTCACAAATAAAGCTAGAAGCGTCCCTACAACGTCAACAGCGAGCGCACGCCACACAACGCAATGGCGAAAACACGGAGGGCCGAGTCGCTTTTGCCCACATAGCTACCGCGCATGCGCGGCCTTCCGGTCGTGTTGGTAAACAGAGCCGCTGCGCGTGTCGGTCTATAGCTGCGCCTCCGGGGCCTCTAAAAACTGAAAAAAAAAAAAAAAAAAAAGAAAAGTGCGGGTTGGAGAGTAGCGCGCTGCCAGGCTGTAGGTTCTACTCCAATGTGTTTAACCACTGATCTGTATTGTAGTATAGGCTGGATCGCGGATCGGGAGCCCGTTGGTGTCGCCACCGGCGGCCATTGCTTGACACCAGGTAATACACGCAAGTCTGTGGGAGAAAGGCAGAAAAGTAAGAATATTGAAGCATGTACGCTGTTCTCGGAAACGAGTATTTTATGGTGTGCTGCGATCCTTATGTCGGGTGTTTGGAGATCAAATCGGTATTTGTCAAACGTTCGAACGCCGATTAAAACAGATCAAAGGTACCGGAGAACTATACGGCTGAGCTGGCAAGCTTGTTCTCGTAGTGAAACAAACAAAGTGCGGCGGTGAGCCGCCGCACTATATTTTCTGTGCTCCGCACACCGCAGCACGCACCCTCAAAGACACGCCATCCGCGCCTCCAGATCTCCTGAAGCAGTGACGGTCGCATCCCGCAGTGCGGCCTTGGCTCCAGCATGGCCGCCCCGGGAGAACCATTGCGATACTCTGCTACGCAAGCGGAGCATATATGCAGTTACATTAAACCAAACAACGAAATAGCGGCGAATTATCATCATCACCATTATCGTCGGCCTATGGAACTTTGGAACAGTGCGAAATGGCCGCAACACACAGACCTTTGGGCAAGGAAGAACTTGATTGAAATTTGAAGGTTCACCTTTTCGAATTGCGAAAGGTGTAGAACATATGCCCGCGATGTTCTTTTTGAACAAACTGCGCGTTTAGTCATTTGAGTGAAAAACAGGAAGTTGAGCCAATCAAGATCAGGAAGGCGAGTCAAAATATAGATTCGCACTAAATAATGATAGTGATGTATTTCGGCTCAGAAGAACCGCGGCGCCGCAGAAAGGCATGCTATGCTGCCCATACCGCCCAAGGCGCCGAAGTCCAACAATGATGAGATGGTATATTGCACCGATTAAATTTTAAAAGAAATGGTAATGATGGTGTTAATTGAGCTCGTGGACGAGGGTGAGAGGCTGATGTGGCGGTTGAATAGGGTGAAAAACGTTAGGCTCGCAGCGGTCTTCACGGCAGTGGTCTTCGTGGAGCCGCCAGGCTGATGACTTTTAGTAGGCCGGTCTCGAGCGCCTGGCGAGGCCTCCCTGCGTGCACGGCTTGCAGAAGAGCCGCTCAAATGTCCGGCAACGCAGAGAGTCCAGATCCCAGGTGGTGGGGCTCCTGCAGGCGTTGGCGCCGGTGTTGGCCGGGCGGCAAGATTCGCGAAAGCGGGCTCTGAAGTCTCCCAACTTGCGGTCGAGCTTGCAACCGAGCAGTGCGACCGCCCTGCCAATCGAAGACATGGTGTGTGCCACTGGACCGTATGTCTTTGACGATGGTGAAAACATGTCTTTCGCCCAGCCGACTTTCTCTTCCGATCTTGCATTACAAGGTATCACCAGCGAAACATCGCAAAGACCGGAACAGCAAATAAAAATTACGAATCAACAGGGACCGACTTACTTTTCTCTGTTCTGGTGGTGAGAACAATGAGGATACAAGCTTCATACCGCGGGCTCACACTTGACAGCGTGATTTAGGGCGATTCTTTTTTCTATTTCTGGGTTGGTTATAAGCGCCGCATGCGAAGGCCTAGAGAACTGACTGAGCTCGCTGTTTCTGCTGGGCGCATTGGCGTTCGGAAAAGCTGGAGCGGAGCACGGGAAGAATCTTTGAGGACATGGTATTATGTATCACGAATAGGGCTGGGCACTTAAAGGATCCATGAAATGATTTTACTACTTTAGCTAAATATTACTTAGAATCACTACCTAACGCTAATAACAAAATGAATTTGCCTTTTCTTTCTTTTTAGGCAAAGACAGTCGCCAAGAAAATTCAACGAATAGGAGCACTGTTCATCCCCTCAACTCGGAGCCAGAACAAGCGACCACGTGGCTGGCGCCTATCCTATGCCGCCAACGTTCATCGTACCCCCGTGCTGAGATCGGCAAAGTAGGAAATGCGTGCTGAGCTCCAGGCATTGTTAGAGTTCGGCTATTATCTCATCACCGCAGTGGTTGGAGGCGAGAACGTGCCGGAGTGTCCACCGAGGCATATATTGTTACATGCCGAAGTCGGGTGCTTACGCACTTCTCGTATCCAATTCATGAGCCGCGCTCGACTGTCGTCAGACGGGTTGTTTCGATCCCACAATTACGTCATCAAGCTTTTCGAAGGAAAGTCTGAAACAAATTGTCCCTTTTTATTCTCTCAATTTCACCGCGACGAACCAGCTCCTGAGTCAGTGGTGGTCTGTGCGAGTATACTTGGGCCAGGCCATTACGTCGTTGTAAAGGCATGGACACTCCTACCCGATATCGTTTCATGACCCCTTTATTCGATTAACCTACCGATTAATCAATTAATGCTTTATTCCTGATTGTTTTCACCGGTTAATCTGTTAAATTCTGGCTAACAAAAGAAACGTTAACATTTAACGCATCTACCACACAGGCATAGACGAATACACCTCCATGAAAGAAAACTTTGGGTGAAATTTTGACCTAAAATAAATTTAGAGGCGAAGTTTGTAACTCCAAATAAGTATATAAAGTTATACGTCTCTCAGCCAATTCAATGCCGTCCGAGTGTCCGTTTGGCGCAGCAGAGACTACTGTGAACAATCAAGGGAGTTCGCTGTTGCCGGAGAATATCAACGAACATCTTTACTTCTGCGGCTGAAGTAATGAATTGTGAGTGTGGGTGTCCTTTGACTCTTCTCAACTACACTTAAAGGTTAATTTAAACTTCGAAATTGTACATTGTGACGTTTATCACATATTCAGCAAAGGCAAACCATCTAATTTTTACTTTTTTTAGTTATCATGCAAGAGGATGAACAAAACCGATTAATCGATTAATTAATCGAACAAATGGTGGCGAATAATTGCGTTAAAATTTTAATCGACACTGTATCTGCCGGCTCTCGGCCGATAAGAAAGTTAGTCCGACACTGCTGGCTTGGTGAACGCAACAACAACCAGGGTTTATTTAGCATCGTTTGTATAGCCGAAAACCGGGGGGCGGTACCGACGCATGACTCAGTGCTATAGACGACATAGCATAAACAGCATGATAAAAGTGGCATGCGGTACGATATCGGTATGATACATCCCCCTTTGTTTAGATAAGAAAAACATAAAATAACCTAAGTTGACAAACGACAAGAGGAAACAATGCTAAACAATCGGGGGATCGGTGGCCGGTTGGGTTAGCGCACACCAGCTCGGAGCACGCGGAGCAAAAGCTCGCGCTGCAGAACCCAGGGATCCTGGGTTCGAGCCCCACCCCTGCCCGTTTCGATCTGGATGAGCATCGTACCGGCGTGCGGTCGTGTATCACTACTGCGTGATGCACGTTAAAGACCCCAGGCTAGCGGTTGTACTGCACTGGAGAAATTTCTCATCTACAGCTGGGAGACTCGTCGTCCGTTGAGGCAGACCAAGTTCTAAGGTGTATAAACATACACACAACCCAATATTTGAGCATTATTTAGCAAACATCCCAAGTAAAGCTTTTCTGTACTAATTTCCGTGATAGAGATTTTCACCATCGGGAATTCGTTCAATTAAAATACCATTTTCTTTGTGATCTGCAGACCTAGGGTCTTACAAGTAAAAAGAAAAAGGAGCCTACTTGAACTACTTAGCATGGACCCCGTCAATATGAATAACCCGTTATGTAGACAACATTTTCGGGGACAGACTGTGTAAATACATGTATTTTTGTATCGTTATTATGAAAAACTCATATTATGAACGCATTTAGAAGGAACTGCGGAGGTGTCCATATTACCGAGACATTACTTTATGTTCTTGCGCAACGCTCGACTATACCATACGCAAGTGAGGCACAGACCAACTTTTGGTGCCGCTTTTTAGATTGCAAGCGAGTCGAAAACTTGAAGTATAACGCACGTTTGCTCAGCCATAGCCAACAAAACAAAGAACGAAAGAGGTGGTTTCTCACAATACGTGGCTGCATCTTTGTACTTTGAGGCCTTTATTGTGCGACATCTCTGATTTCTCGAGGAATCAACCAACGCCTTCGCGCGCCTCGTGCGCAAGCCATTTTATTTCACGCGTTTCGCAGAATTAAGAATTGGAGATTGGAACGGTTCAGCACGGCGGATTCAGCAGCCGATAACGGAGGAGGTGAGGTTGTAGAGGCGCGTGCCGTCCTCGCAAGAGAAGTCGCTGAAAACCCTCTGCATCGCCGTGTTACTGGCAAAGGGAAGGAGCCACTTGTAATCGCAGCCGCGACAGGTGAACCGGTTACCTGAAACCAAAAGTCACATGAAAAGTTTAATATGCGGAGCTCTATGTTCACCGGGTGTTTTGCATATACACGAACTCAGATCCTCAACGTCATGTCATGGCCATTGCGTTTTTTGGACATTTCAAGCGTAAATTGTAAGCATATATGGCACGCCCCTGTGTCCCTTACAAGCATTACATTGATACGCGGCTTATTTCTGTACTAAAATTGCCATCAAAGATTGATTACCTAATAAGAAAAGCTCCATATGCGCAAGGAGCGGACAAGCAGAAGAACTTGCACGCCATGTAGTATTTACAACCAAAATTTAAGACACGGTCTTAAAAGGAACTCACCTCGGGTGAGCACTTTGGGCAGAATGGAGACAAGGCCCTTTTGGACATTTTGAAGCGCGCCGATGATTATAGGATGAAAAACGTCTTTGGGAAAAGAGGTCAAGTCGTTATAGCTGAGTGTTAGTTCGAGCGGGAAGGTCTTCTCAAAGGCCTTGGGGTGGATGCTCTCAATGCGACCCAAATCAATCTGGATCTATTAGAGAAACAAAAAGAAGAAAAAATGCAAAGTTACTCAAGCTTGATCAGGCTAACAAAGTCCGTGGAGCTCAGAATGTGCGGTTAACGCGAACTACAACCTCGCAGAACCACCTCGATGAAATTTACGTCCCTCGACTTGGGCTCACATGACGTGGTAACGTCCCGTGACAGCGATTTCTCCGCTAAATTTAGCGGAGAAATTAACATCGCGACTTGAGTTCACATCACATCAATTTCCCTGTTAAATTTAGCGAAAAGTTTGACATCAAGTGACGAGGTCCCATGACGCGCGGTTATGTTACTTCTACTTCTCTATATTTAGCGTGAAAATTGAGGTCACGCGACATTTATTTTCTCCCCTACCCGAATGCCGAACGCCCGGCACCGACTTTGGGCATTCGCGTTCGAGCAGTGAATAGAGGAAAGTCAGTAAGCTGTGCATCTCTACTCACTAATCATTTCAAACAGAACTCAACGCTTTGACGCCCCCCCCCCCCCCCCCCCCCCCCACCCCACCCCTTCCTGGCGATCTGAGATCCTCCTAATAAGCCAGGCTTATTGTTTAAGCGTTCAAGTTCTTTGCTTCGTTATTTCTTTTTCGACGTTCTTATCGGCGAATCCCACAATGCTGCGAACATGACTCGTGGCTTTAACCGTGCCGGCCTGCTATATGATTTCCGAGAAGCTCCTGGCACCTTGAGCTCCGGGTTGTGAGGGAAAATGGACATGGAGTTTGCGTCGAGGCTCTTGATGCGCGTTTCCTTCATCTTGAGGGTGTCCAGACTGGGCAGGCCCGCGAAGGCGAACGCTCCGATCTTCTCAATGGGGTTCTTGGAGAGCACCAGCGTTCCCAGATTCGCGTTCTTGAAAGCGTCCATCGGGATGGCGGTTATCTTGTTCTGCGCAAGGTTGAGCGTCTCCAGGCTTTCAAACATGGCGAGGCTGTAAAACAATCGCAATCAAGGTCTTTACCATCAGCTACAAAGCCTTAAAGGGGTCATGAAACGATTTCATGATTTCGCAGAAGCGTACTGGTCCTAGTCTGGCACAAGTTACTCGCACTGTTCGCCACTCGCGAATCAAGGCGAGATCCGTGCTTCGAATGCCGCGTGGCAACGAGCTCAAGGAGAAAACTTGGTACGCGGCATTCGAACCACAAAGCATATATGCATGAGCACGAAGTAAACATCATTCGAACATGTTTGAGGCGTGGATGCAGATAACTGTCATTATGTGACCGTGTCTTTTGTAATAGGATGTACATATAGGCAGTTTGACTGCGGCTTTACTGTATATAAGCCGTACAAGAATAGGGCTTCCGCTGTAGCTGCCACTCTAGAGAGATACCATTCCGTTAACCGTCTTCTGTACGCTGTCATCTATTGTATTCTAGGCTAACGCGTACTGCCCATGCTCATTAGCTCTCTTCTGCGGAATACAGAAGCCGCGCATCTGTCCATAGCCCGTAACTCGGCACTTTGTTTCTGCATGGGCAATAAAAGCACCGGAAAGGTGCTTTTATTACCCATGCAGGTGTGTGCATGCAGATTGCCTGATAGTCGGGCCTTGCCAAAGTCGTGTCCACGGTTGCCAGACTGGTGCTTCAAAGAAGTGTTTTCCGCCCACAGTGGCCGGACAAACATCTGGAATGTGGATGCATGTAAACCTGTACAGATGCTGGCGAGTAAATGGACTCACCTTATCGCACAATTGGCCGTTGCTTTTTGTATGCCGTGGAACGGCACCAGGGCTCTCCAATGCATGGTTCCTTGGTGATACTCAAGTTTCTGAACTCACTAGTCAATTCGAGCGCGTTGTTATATTAAATACCTAAAAACGAAACAATAAAAACATAAAAGACGTACGCGGACAATCCCACTCTTTCAACACAGAGTGTGGTCGTCTGCGTACCAACTTACCCCCTAGTTACACTAGTGCTCTCAACTATCATTAAGCCAGCGGTAGTTGGCACCACCCAACTTTCATTGAGCTCAATTAAGTTGTCAAATGTTACGCGGTACAAGTGCCTAACCACCCTTGTTGAGATGCGCGTCAAGGGACAGAAATGAAACCGAAACGAAGCCAAAACTGATGTCAGATTACCTTTTCTTAAAAAGTGATGCAAATGAAATATATACCCGATTTTTATTCCCTACAAACGTTTAAAACAAAAAAAGAAATGTTTTTTTTTTTTTTTTTTTTTTTTTTTGGGGGGGGGGGGGGGGGGGGGGTAAAGAAACGTTCATTAAGGGCACAGGGTAAGGTAAAATTGAAAAAGAATTCGATTTTAGTTTTTTTCGTAATTTGAAAAGTTTAGTTCTTTCTGCACATTTTCCATTGTCCCGGTGTTTTTAGAAAGCTATATTTCGGGCTGAAAATCACTTCTTCCGAAAGCAAGTAGCAGGTAACCACGCCTCCTTTTGGGATACACTCCCTGTTTATCGATGAATTCTCCAACAAAACAAAATCAACACAAGACCTAAAAGCTTGTCCAGTAACAGATAATCTCAAAAAATTATTTCGCAACTATTGCATAGCTTTTTTTCAACCAAGACAATCACGAGACGCTGTGCACGTTTCTCCCAGGTGTGTACCGTGTGTACATTCAAGCGTTTGTGTTTTCGTAACGACAAAATGGCGCCATTGAATGCTGTTCCTTGATTCAATGGTGGCAGCATTGCACAAGCCAATGTTTTGAAGTTTTGTGGATGGAACCCTGTTTGGAAAGCCATCAAGTGGCTGAGGGAAGTTGACGTCACTCTAATATACTTTACGGACCAAGCGACATGGCAGGTCACAAAAGAGGCCCGGCAAGCAAGGCGATAAGCCTAAAGGCGAAGACATGACTTTAGCAATGCCTTTCAAGCTGGAGGCTATTGAAAAAATGACTCTGAGGCTGTTGGTGCCAATAGAAATTCGTTATTCACCAGTTTTTTTTACTTTAAACTCAATTATCTCAAAACAGTGTTTTTTAGTACATAGGTACCATTTTTTCCTTAACCTGACATTATGGAGGGTTGATTTTGTATTCCTACCACATACATGGGTGTTCAAAAATACTGAACTAAAATTAAAAATGTGCACCTAGCAGTTTTTGAGTTACGAAGTTTTTAATAGATGAAAACAACTAAAATTTCAGTACTAGAATAAAAAAAATAAAAAAAAAACTTATTTTAGATTGGTTCAAATAATTCTAGTTCAGTGGATAAAACACAATATTTCAAACAAAATGATATTTACATGACAAGAATACTCCTAATAGTCACCGAGAAAAATGTTCCTCAACATGGCCTCAAATGCATGGGGAGTATAGGACTTACCCTGTGCCCTTAAAAGGGGAAAAAATACTCGTTCGTTGTTTATACAGCAGGAGTTTAGTCTACCAGTTTGGAGCACGTGGAGCTCTAGTGCTTCGTCTCAGCTTAGCAGAAACTGACTGCAAAGACTGTATAAGCGCGAGCGGCTAGCTTTGACTGCCTTGACTGGAGCACTCGCTGCACGAGCGCTCGTGCAGCCGCTGAGGCTTCATCCAAAGCAACTACCTCGCGCTTTTAGCATACGCGGCTAACAATAGTTCATGCTAAGGTGAGTGGGGTGAGACAAAATAGCCCACTCGGCCACCGACCCCCCGATAATCAGAACGCTTCACACGAATTCAAGCAAGAGAGGCATAATGAAAGTCTCATCGGCACCGACATCACAATGGCCGCCCTCGTCAAGCTTTGGCTTCCGCGACATGCCGTGATCGTTGTAGCGGCAGCTCTGGCCCCGAATAATAAGGAATTGTAGTAGACCGTTTTTCTCCTCCGCTACGGTATACCTGAAGAAAACGCCGCAGCTGCGCCTGCGCGCCGCCAGCCTTCTCTGCATAGTTCAAGGTCTTGTGGCGGATTACGGAGCGCTATACGGGTGCTTAGCGGGCTGCGGAAACGGTCTACTACAATTCCCCAATACCAGGGGTGGATTTAGGGGGCAAGGGAGAACGACCGCCTCTCCCCCATCCCCCCCGCCCCCTTTTTTTAAGCTCCCCAAAGTCAACTTTGTTTTAATAAAATCATTTATATACACCAGTCAAAAGTTTAGTTTTTGTTGACATAGCAAATATTGGCTTAACAAAATTAATCTAGGCAACGTTTCCACCGTAACGTCATATCTCAGCATACTCCCCCCCCCCCTCCTTCGCCAGCCGAACGCCTACCTCCCCTCCCTGGCCTGACCCAAAATTCCGCCCCTGAGTCATCCCTCTTCCGACAATACTTGCTGCTACGATACTTTCTGGAAACCTCCCCCAATCTTCCGCAATAGTAAGTGCTTCGCTGGCGCTGACCATGGGTGGACGCCGCCATCTTTAGTTTTATTGGGACGAATCCCAATCGGTTAATTGAGGTAGGCCAGCTCGGTTGAACTCAATGATCGTTAGCGGCTTCAATGACAGTTGGCACTGCCGCGTCGCCGATCGTGATTAAGTCAACTGTCGTTGGCTTAATGACAGTTAAGAGCGCTACTGCAACTAGGGTATTACACTAGAAGATTAGAATTTCCGTTTAAAGATTGGCATGCTTTGCTTGTTACTGAATGGTAGATGGAGTCAAAGTTGTGTAGCTGCTGAACCTGGACATGCCGAACCAATCAGCAATAAGCTAAGTGATTCATACTCAAGATTCCGAAACACGAGCGCGCCGACACTCCTTGCGCCATCTATCGGCAGCCGTTGCGCGACCTTGCGGTACCTGCCCTTAACTCAATAAAACAAACTAGTTTTTTGTTTTTTTTTTACAAAATTTTAAGTGGCGCATTTTTCTGCTCTCAACGATCTTTTTTAATAGATACAATTTTGTTCATCGTACTAAATTGAAAGGTTGAGTAACAGCGTATTTAATTTAAACAAAGAAAATGGGACGGTGGATAATACTACTGACTTTGCCGCCGCTTACCGCTTGGGAAATCAAACGTCTACAATACCCACTGCACTTGCATGTAGTGCATGAGCTTGCTCACACATCTTAAGACAAATCTTTTTTTTTTTTTTTTTACAGCAGAGCTGTTAAGGGCTAGGTTCCCCAGGATCGTGTCCGTGTATGTCGACACAAACCTACCTGGACAGCTACCGCCATCTATAAGCGACGGCGGCAAGCACACAACCAGTATGGTTCCCGCCGTCGCTCGTAGATGGCGGCAACCTTTCCAGCTATAACAGATGAATGGATAGTTGAGCGCGTTGGTGGGGATTCATCGTAGGAAACAGTGCGAAAAACAGACGACGACGAAGAAGAAGCACACAGTGTATCGAGTACAACTCCGCTGGTCTTCCTTCTTCACGAGAGTGGAAAGGCTGAACGATTTCGTAATGCAGTCATATTTGGTTTGTTGGAATTTACAACCCACAAATGTACAATCCCGCGCCATCTTTGCGTTAAACTAAATCCGCTGTTACGTTGATCGTATGCATGATACAAAGACATGGCGTTTGCTGCAGACGTTATGATAGAATCCTCTGCGGACAGGCATTTTCGATGGACGTTAGCTTTATACATGCTTTGAAACCGGCTGCAGACAGTTTTTTCACGACCAATGTGACGTCATACCAGAAAGAAAGGCGCCTCAGACAGTTTCATGCAGACTGTCGTTTCTAGTGTCTGCAACTTCATTAAAGTGTTTGGCCAATGAGGCAGATATGGTGCACTGTCTGCGATTCGATACGGTCTTCCCTTTATTACGACCTTATGATCGCATCAAGTCCGTCCTTATCGGCTCTCAATGAGCGATAAGACCGACTTATATTAGCTGAGCCCGTTAGAACGCACAACGTCAAACCGATAAGCCTTTCCACGATCAATATTTTATTATAGGACGCCACCTCCGGCACTCTCCTAATTTCCTTGTCGTGTTGAAATCCCACGAATGGTTGATAAAGAGCACTTGTCAGTTTCCGCACCTGCTTAACTGCCGAGTGGCTCACAGCCGTATGTATGAGAAAAATCACCCGATACGCGCCACCTTTGATTCGAACGATAAAACGCGACAGCGGATATCATTTGCACGAGTCAAAAGCAGACGGTGAGATTGTACGTCTGTCGGATTCAGGGAAGCTAGTGCGATAATTCGCGTCCTTCAAACGAAAATCCGAACGAATGTTATCTGAACATCATTGTTGTCCAGCCTTTCTCTTCGTCCGTTTAGAGCCGCGCTGTTTCAAGCAGAAATCTATGTCGTGAATGGTAGCAAACACTGAAGCTGTGGCAAAATCAAGTGTTCGGCGAAATCGAGTGTTCGACAAACCTAAAACTCGTTACAATACATGAGAGTATGCAATAAGCGTATGTACACTGTCCCACAATATGAAAGAGCCGTTAACCGAGGCAGTTTATGCGGCGCTGCTAAGTGTACTTATTCCAGAGGTTTATTTTCAGAGAAGAGGGTGAAAGAGGGAAGAGAACAAAAATTAATTTATTTTCGTATCCCAAGCGATCTGTGCCTGGCGAAAACGAATCCTGCACAGTCACCCGATATTTCCTCGTCGAATGGGTCTTTCATATTGGCGGAGACTGTACGCGTTTTCTACGGTGTACCCTACCCGCCGTTTTTGCGCGTGACTGCTCACACCGTTGTACCTTAAAACCACTTAAAATCTCTTCCGACGAGAAAGCACACTGGCGTCATAGATTGGGTAGTAGTGTAAATTTTCGTATATTTTCTTCCTTTGCGCATTATTCTTTATTTTGTGTGTTGCTATTTAAACTGAGATTTCTCAGAGATAGTACGTATGTTTCATCTCGTAAATACCGTTAGCGAAGCCGACGGTCTTTAAACAATAGGCCGCCCTATTGTTTGAACACCGGCGGCTTCGCTGTGTTTCCATCTGAGTTAAGCCTTTTCCATTTCTTTTACTTTTTCCTCAGGTAAGTCCGCTCTTTGCAAATTTTATAGAAAATATGCACCACCTTTGGGCAAACTTGTGCCCGATACTTGACAAATGGAATGTATTACAATTACAAACTCCCGAGCCTCAGATGTAATGGATTACCGCTACCAATTGCGTTCACTGAACAGTAACGGATAACTTTACTCGTTACGTCACAAATTACTTCCGCGTCACTCCCATCGTACACTTATCGAGAAAAAAAAAGAAACAATTTTGATGTTATCAAATATTTTGCGCAACACTACTTTCCATTTCCCATACGCCTGCACTATGGCGGCCTTGTAAAAATAAAATAATGTATTTAGGAGAAATAATGCATATTCCGTCTCACTAAAACCGTGCAGTACAGTCAAAGTTACGGGAGAGAAAGCGTGCCCCAACATGTTCAAGGTGAAGGAAGGGAGGAACATAGAGGAAGGCTGGGATCCCAGCCTCCCTCTCCTCTTCCTCCTTTTCCTACTCTTGAAAAGTTTGGGATAAACTCTCTCCCCTGTAGCTTTAACTGTACTGCACGGTTTTAGTGAGACGAAGCATAGGTGCACTCCTTTCACGTGTAAGCTGACAAGGCAGTAAAAGCTACAACCAAAGCCGCCATCCCGCTAGCTTACGGCGACGGGAAATGATCCCTGGAATCTCAGCAGACAAAGCTAGTGGTCCGCATGCTCAGTATCAGCGTCTACTTCCGCTAGGGAATTCAGAGGTAAGGAACCGATCCACGCAAACTTCCTTTTGAAACGGCCCTTCAAGCAGTGTAAAAATGAAAAACAAATAAATACGAAGAGCTTTCTACTTCCCAGGCGAACAAGAAAAACACGATGGGAGAAGATGGAAGAGCCTGCTCGGCGTTATCTTCTTGATCTTTGTTATGCGCACATTTGTATGTCTTGCACATTTTAGAGCGCAGCTCTTAGGCGCCCGTTTCCGGCTTAAGCGGCGTCGGCGTCGCCGTCGGCGTCGGCGTAATCGTGAGGTCACGTGACCCCCCCAAAGTCACGTGACCCCCCTCCCGAGGTCACGTGACCTCCCCCCAGGGTCACGTGACCCCTCCCCAAGGTCACGTGACCCCTCCCCCGAGGTCACGTGACACCGGGAAGGAGGGGGAGGAGGGGAGGAGGAGGAGGAGGGAGAACGGGAGGAGGAATAGCAGACAGGTTCACGAGGTGAAGAGGAGGGAGAAAGGGTATACCCTCCCCTCAGTACCCTTCCCTCCTCCTCCTCAAGAGCTGCGCTCTAATCCGGCGTTACAGGGAGTTATAAACGGCTTTCATTCTTTCTCGTGATTCTAGTGACCAGTCATCCATAAAATAGTGCTTCATTTTCGGTTATTCTCCTCTTCACGGTGCTTTCTATTCTCTTGAACTTTATAGTTTTCTGCTGCTGAATTGTCTGCACATATTTCTGCAGTTTCTGTATTATGGTCTGTTTGTTTTAAATTAATGAGTAATTAGAGTTATCTGTTACCAATATTTAGTAACGAAATTATATTATGAATTACAGCCGCAAAAAAAACTATCGTGGCAATTACACAATTACTTGAAAAAGTAACGGATTACATGTAATTTGTTACTAGTAACGGATTACTTCTCAAATCTGCCCGTGGGCAACGTGGCACAAAATCTTAGCACGATATGTTAAGAAACCGAATTTTGCGGTTGATTTAAAGAGCCTGGCCGATGTTTGAGACACCCTGTAGGTTGGCAGCGACGTTCCGCCATTTTTGGCTCAAGTGCGTTCCAGCATGCACCAGCTTGACGGTACTTGTTCATAAAATCCATCCAGCGCTCTAAGAGTGTTCTCTCGTCGTAAGAGATCACAAGTATTCGGTCGTAAGCGAACGGAAATGTATGAACGGGTGTTTAGATTCCCTCACCTGTCGTAGTCAATCCTGGATAGGTCGTTACCGAAAAGGCTCAGTTCTTCCAGAGTGTCCTTCGAGTTAACCAGGGCCTCTAGACTGAAGGAAGTCAGGTTCTTGTTGAGGTCAATGTAGGCTTTGACAAACTTGAAGTTCCCAAATACTCCAACAGGAAGTGATGGAACTGGAGTCCTTTGTATCCAGAGTCCCCTGTGCTCACTGGGTCCGCCGACTCCGAAGGCCTTTTGCAGGGATTCGGTTGTCTTGGCTTTCATGCAGTTGATTCCGGAATAATCGCATGTGCAGGGGCTCATTGTTCCTGGTGGAGGACATGGGTTCGTCTGGCCTGCAGTCAGCGCCACGCTCCAGGCAACCAGGATGAGGGTGTATCTTGAAAAAACTATCACAGTTTTATTATTATCATTATTACTATTATTGTTATTAAAGGGAAACTGAAGCGGTTCTGTATTTGAGAAAAAACACTTCAATGACCTTCATTCTACCTCCAGGATCAGGAATATCGAGATTATTTTTCAATTTGGTGCACGGAGGCTTCAGAAATTAATTTTCAAAGTACCGCCGAAGCCCCTCCTTCCCGGGGCGTGACGTCACACTAGGTGTTTTCGGAATCTCTGCTCACGCGCATCTTCAGCGCCTGTCAAAGCTATGCACGCGCATACTTGCTATTTTCAAAAAAGGTTAGAAAGAGACGCCACGACTGCTGTCATTGCGGAAAAATATACCTGGCAAGCTTGCCATTGCACGCACTGCCCACACGAGCGACACGCGCTTGGCGGCCCAATTATCCTAGTATGACGTCACGACTGGTCGGAGGTTTTTCGCGTTTTCTCGCTTTTACTTGCATCTTCAGGGAAAACGAATGTGATATTCAGATTCACGGGATAAAAATACGCCAGAATTCACCTCTAACTCGTTTTTTTCAAGAAGCGTTTCAGCTTCCCTTTAAAGGACACATGCAAAGGAAAAAAATTTTTTTTTAAACGGCTTAGATGGAAAAAAGACGCCATAAAAAGATTTTACAACGAAGAAAAAAAATTTTTAGAGCTATATTTACGGCGCTATACGAATTTGTAGTTGGCGCCCGCGGGCACCGCGGAAAAGTGGTCTGTATTTATCACGTGACTGGTCTTTATTTATCACGCGGTGCTTGCGTTCTTTCGGAAGCTTCCTATGGCCTCTAAAAGTAACTTATTCATCTTTGTTTGAAGTATAACAAAAAACTAAGATGAATAAGTAACTTTTAGAGCCCAAAGGAAACTCCTGAAAAAGCGCAAGCAGACGTGATAGACCTGTGCGCCGGTCAGACGACGGCGGCGGCGCCCCGAAGCAGACAGACTTGTGCGGCGGCGGCGACGGCGGCGTGGAGAAACGCGTTGAAGCGGCGTTCGCACAACGCTCAGCGTGCGGCGGCGACGCAGCGCGGCGGCGCGCGGGCCTACCACGTGACCAGCGGCGGCTCCCGCGAGCGCCAACTACAAATTCGTATAGCGCCGTAAATATAGCTCTAAAAAATTTTTTTCTTCGTTGTAAAATCGTTTTATGACATCCTTTTTCCATCTAAGCTGTCTAAAAAAAATGTTTTTTTCCTTTGCATGTGTCCTTTAACGAAAAAATTTTGTGAAAAATAAAATTTGAAAGTTAAACATAATAAAAGATGTATTTTGAGTTATACATTTTTATCGGTGTTTCAAAAGCGCTGAAGATATAAATAATGAAGCAATTGCGTTAATGCTTGCAAGCGTACAAAATGTTAGTACTCTGCTAACTTTGTAAATTTCAGTTACCTCTGCAATACCAAACACTTCAAATAAAAAAAAAGTGAAAGCCGTTTACAACTCCCTGTAACGCCGGATTAGAGCGCAGCTCTTGAGGAGGAGGAGGGAGGGTACTGAGGGGAGGGTATACCCCTCCTCCTCCTTCTCCTCCTCCTCCCCTCATTCTTCAATGTCCTCCGGGGGGGGTGGGGTCACGTGACTTCGGGGGGGGGGGGGGGGGGGGTCACGCGACCTCGGGGGGGGGGGGGGGGGGGGGGGTCGCGCGGTGCATTATGGGACATTTCCCATAACGCACCGCGCAATTACGCCGACGCCGCCCAAGCCGGAAGCGGGCGCCTAAGAGCTGCGCTCTAGAATGATGCCATAAAGCTTTATCAGACGTCATAGTAGTATTACTCGTCTTAACTTTGTCTAATCTTATCCTGTCATCACCTTTATCACACTTCACTACAAAACTTTCCTTCCGTAATTCAGGCGTCCTGGATACACTTATTATCCAGTATTTATTTATTTTTGTTTCTTGTTACGAATTAACCAAAACGTTGGTGAAATGTTACTCTGCATTCCTATAAAATTATTATGAAATCCCTCTCGGAGACTAGACGCGCATATTAACACCCGCTAGATCATGGAGACAAAAATCAGGCGTAGCATTTCATCGAGGAGAGTCCCTTGCTCATATAAATCATACGACGACAAATGAGGCAGCAAGCCTAACATTTGAAGCGAAAAAAAAGTGGTATTAACGTTGGTAAGAGTAAAGTTATATGTGAGGAGAGTACAAGTGATGAAAAAAGAAACTAACGGACGCAAACGACCGTTTCTTCATTAGCACGTGGTTAAAAAGAAATGCTTTGTGACAACAACGCAATCAGAGAAGTAAACAAATACTTCGTTCGCCCCTTTTTTCTTGCTCTATTTGTAGTCTCTAAGAGCTTAAGAATAGCGGGGCGTGTCGATCGAGAACCGATTTTATCATTATCGCTCTGCAGCTAATCAGATCGGGGCATTCGTCGATAAGAACTGCAAAAGAACAAATCACAGGGCTAAGGGCGTGAACACAACGATTCACGACACGCATTGCTTTGAAAGACCATGAAAGAATTTTGAAATAGAATTTCATCTACTGCACGTCGTAAAAGGCGTGAAAAGAAAACCAAAACACAAAAATAAAGAGCTAAAAAAATTTTCGCTAAAAACTTTTAAAAGAAAGCGATATATTTTATATCTTCTTCAAAAGCACAGTCTTTTCACTGCGACGCATGCGTGGTGCCACTGCACGCCAAATCCACAACGCCTATTGCATAAGACCCTACCTCACCAGCGCCGCGATCATAAACAGTAAATTGCCGGCAAATGTTTCACAAAAAATTTGTTAAAGAATATTCTGATCCACATTTTGTTGAATAATTAGCGATGTGACGGATATTGCCGAATTTTATGATGCTCCGAGCTATGCGTTATCTATCGTGTGGTAAACGAAGCAAGAGAAAAATCGGACTGCGCCTGCGCTGTTTCGCGATTCCTGCTCTTTGTTGAAAAAAGTGGCGTCGGTGGTGATGATCGACGTGGCCGGCGTGGTGGACGCTCATCGTTCTGCGTAGAGCGCTATCCTTGATTGAATTCTCGTCCCGTGTCGCCACGATAACCCAGCACGTCCTAGAACGGTAGATTCATCTACTCGTGCGGTGATGTTGTGGCGGCACCTTCGATATAGTAGAAACGCTCGTGCCGTCGTCTTTGTTTATATACTTCGACTACAGTGGTGCTTTCTTAGCATTTGTCTCCTCGAACGTCGCTCGGATTTCTTATTTTACGCATTCCATGCGCGGGATCAAGCTCAAGATATTACTGTTGCGTGCTGTATTTAAAGGCGTGTATGAAGAATGCGTATTTTGACGCGTTTTTATCACTTGAAGAAAGTGATTAGTGTTAGCATTTCTCAAACGATCGCAGCGTCTATCGTAGAAAATTCGCGCGACGAGATTCGTAGTATCAGTGAAGTCATGTTTTAAAGTCGTGATTGTCGAAGACGGCGTACCGCATCGTTTTCTTTTCTTTTTTCATCCACTCTGCCCTGCGAGCCTATATCCTCATAAAATAAAGGTTTATAAAGCTTGAGCCCATGAAAAACCCTGTGCATTTTCTGCTGAGCCAGTGAGTGATAGCGTGTCCTCTTTTTAGAGATGCCGCGGAAACGGTTGACGGCGGTAAAGAAGTGGCTGCCGTGCTGAAGACCTGCTGCGCTTCGTACCGGCGTATAGGACCAGTCCCATGCTGTCGCTGTACCGCAACATATATAATTAAATTTCGCTCAGCTGCGATGTGTCCGTGACTATACTCTGTTTCACCTTATGATGTACCGCAAAAAGGCTACCAGCGCGAGCTCCTTGCTCTAGGCACATCTCGGTGGCACAAGCTCTCGTGCGTTAAAGGGGCACTGACACCCCAAAGGTCGTATTTATTTTTATTGTCTAAAACGATGCAAGTTGCAGTCATAGACACGCAAAAAAAACCGCATCGCGAAAAAAAATTTTCCCGCGCGCGCGCGCGCCTTTTTATTTTTGGCGTTTGATTTTCCCGCGTCTCGCCTCCTCGCTTCTTTTGATCGGTGACGTCAAAAATCAGGAAATTTAGAAGCTTTGTAGGCGACATCTCTATAACATTTAATTACGGCAATCCTAAAACATGTTTTTTAACGCAATTGCGAACGCACTACGGCCCTTCTTTTTGAAATACCAAAAATCGGGAGTTCGTTGTGGTGCCGTCTCCTGGATTTGTATCCTCCAACGGAAAACAGGCGACACCGCTCAAAACCGGTCCGCCGCAACGAGCCGGCGCTAATCCTTTCCTCCTCGCTTTGGGTCGCCATGGCAACAGCAGGGAGTGGTGACAGGAAAGGGGACTCTCAGGTCTCCGCGTTTTTTGACGTCAAGGTACCGGCGCCGATCGCGCGGGAACTTCGAATTCGGCATTTGGAAATTGTTTTTTTACTTCACGAATACTGAATTCCCAAATCTCAAATTTTGAGGATAATGTCCCGGCATCGTTTTTAATCGTTTCGGATAATAAAAAAAAATATGATTTTGATGTGTCAGTGCCCCTTTAAGAGCAGCTCCCAACGCTATGAGCTCGCGCTTCTAGCCTTCTCTGCGGTACAACATAAGGTGAAACGGACTATATCGCGGTGATGAGAGGCGCCGATTCAGAAAACATGTCAGTGGCATCGGCACCATCAGCGCAGTAAAACCCTGTGGTAAAACTAAAGGTAAAACCTAGAGCACTATATAGCTCCATCGGAGCAGAGATGATGATGATGATGATGTGGCTGTTCCCTTTAGATCGGGCGGGCTCGAACAATACTCCTGCCCAAGCCTGGGGCATTTGCGTGTTATTTCCTCTTAACGTAGATCTTTTTCCACCAGTCCTCTAATCGTTTCTTTGTTGCCTCTACAGAAGGCCTATGCGGGCCACTGGAGGCCGTAGTCTCGTTCGAGGCAGGCCTGTCCGCTGATGCGGCTGGCCTAACCTCGATGGTTTGGTGTTCATCTAGAGAAACAGTGAAGCACAATACTTCGGCAAAGCTTCAGGGGGCTTTGAGAGTTTCGGTCGTTGTCTCGTGACCGGGATGGCCGGAGTCCTGTACATTCCAGTACAATGTGTGCAACTGTTTCGTCGTGGGCCACGCACACCCGCCACACGCTCGTGGTCACGGTGGAATCGAAGTGTCGTCTGTGAGACAGCGTCCTTAGTGCCCCGGCTCGTTCCTCAAATAGCAGACGACTACCCAGGCTATTATCGTTTAGCCTAGCCTCCGGACCGATGGTCCTCTTGCGTGCAACGTATACATCGAGTGTAGTCTTTGATGGGGCATCTTTGAGCCACTGCAGTGTTCCTGGTCGCGAACCTTTTTCCGAACCTCTCTCTCCCATTCCGTGGCCGACGACGCTTGGACAGGGTCGGCAAAGAAGCCGTACTTGCTTTTGAGCTGGTATAGGCGTTTCTGCCAGCGGGTCCACAGCCATGTCAGTTGAGTGTACCTGAACAGCCTTTTGGCCCACCGGCAGGTGTCCATACGTCGGAGACGTCCGTCGTAGGCGATTTTACTGGTAGCTTCACTTGCTTCAAAAGAGGACCATCCCAAATCACACTGGACAGCCTCATTTGCTACTGTACCATGACACCCTTGCGCTTGGCGCCCGACCTCCCTCTGCCTAAGTACTATGCGAGCTCGGATATCTCTAGGGACGCACACCACAGCGTTAGCAAAAGTCAGTCCTGGTACCACCACCGCCTTCCACAGCTCCCAGGTCACAACGAATTTATTACAGCTCCAGAGATTCCGTCTACGGACAATGCCGGTTCCTCTGGTGGCTGCTTGGCGGAGATGGGCGTGGTGCTCTTGCAAGTAGTCCTCTGTATTTGTAAGTGTATTAACAAACAAATGCAGTGTAACGCCATCTCTCGCCAAGTAGCCGCGAACGCCCGGAGGTTCCAATTCCTGTCAGAAATCCATGGGGATCATGAAAAAATTGTTGTTTCTTCAATATTGTGCGGAGGCATGGAACGACAATAGTTTGTTACATAATAAAGGAACATTTTTGAATAATTTGAGCTAAGTTGTGTGCCACGTAAGGACGTAACTTTTTTTTTTAATTGCCTGAGCGGCAATATGCAGCGGACGACGCGGCGACGTCACATCGATCACGTGACCTGGTCCGGCCAACCCAAAAAGCCCATCTCCGCTGCGTAAAAAAATCTTCTGCTTCAAACGACATTGCCTTGGAAATCGCCTTCTCGAAAATTCCACACACATCCAATATTATGAAAACTTTGATAAAGTGTTTAGTGCTTTACCAACTTCCCAACAGACTAGATTCGAAAAGTGTGAGCTCGGTGTTTATTTTTTAATGAGCCGTGTTGCGTCGATCTCTATGTGTTCTCCCATAGGGCAGGCCGCGTCCTGGAACCCTGAGTACCACGTGACACGCGCCAAGCTGCCCTGTCGGCCACGTTGTCGGAAAAACACTCGGATCAAAGGATTGCGCTACTTTGCTCCATAGGAGCTATATAGTGCTCTTGCAAAACCTGCAGGCACACCCGCCAGCTCGCCACTAACGCTCCTATTAGCGATGCGTGCGACCGAAAGCGTCGCTGCGGTCCACTGATCTCTAATATAGGGGGCTGGATGGCGCATAGCCGCTCTCCGAGCAGGGCGCAAGTGAAGCCACCGGAAGTTTGATACTTATCCCGGAAGTCGGGCGTCTGCTGGGCTTCCTAGTGCATTCAATCGATGTTTTAGTACGTACTTTCCGGTGTTTTTTAGAGGTTTTTACTAATCATGCTCCGAATTAAATCCCGAAAATGAGGCAATTGGACCTGAGACATATGCACACTTGCTCAACTAGAATCTCGAAATGTTTACATTCAATGGCTTCCCATGATACTTCTAGGGTCTGCATGGCGCTCTTACTGCGCAACAAGCAGGCTCTCTTGAGGTGACAAGCGAAAATCCAGCGCCCTCGACGTTTTTTGAACCAGCGCTTGGAAGGGTTACAAAGCCTGCCAAGCGCTCACTTCCAGGACAAGCCGCTTATTTCCGGTGGCTTCATACTTGTTTGCTCAATGCGCCACCCAGCCCCCTCTAGTAGAGATCAGTGATGCGGTCAGGTTTCCACGATTGGCCAAACCATGGGCATATGAGCATTGTAAGATTGTCAACTTTGACGGTGTTAGTTTCGGATTGCGATGGCTCCCAGCTTCCACTGTGCTTTTTAAACACACCACCGAACTCGTCCTCGCGCCTGATGGTAAGTAGCCAGGATAACAACTGGTGACGTCACGGCGAGGCAAATCCCAGTCGTGACGTCACAGATGGAAACCATAAGAGGGCGCCACCGAAACATCTCGGCGCTAATAGACCGATCTTACCAAGTTTTTGGCGCATGCGTGAGGCAGCCATAACTTTAGTTCAGAGGGGTAGGCAGGAGCGCACAAGACGGCTCGTGCCGCCTCATGCTCCACACATGCAGAGCTCCAGCGAGGTTGTCGCACGCGCAGAAAAACTAAAGTCCCCTCGATGCACTACGGCAGCGGTGGCGTACTCAAACTGTCTGGTGAGATCGGTCTATTCTCTAACTGCCCAGCGAACTTTCGGTTCCGTTGACAGCGCACGTCACGACCGTCAAAATTACGCCGCGGCTTGTTTCACGGTGAGTTGGAGAGGAAAAAAAACTCGATGTTTCAATAATTTTTCGTGTAGAAGTTAATAAACCGAAACGAAGACGGATGCCTCTTTGGCGTTCAGTGAACATTGACGGTTTAATGTAAAAGTTACTTGGCAAAAGTAAAAGAGATCATTTCATTGTCCCTTTAAGCTATGTACGACCACGAGGAGCACAAGTTGGTCCGCTTCTTTTGCAGGCGTTGTGATGACGTCAGAACGGCACCGAGCTTTGACTGGCTCCGAATGGAAGGATAGTGGCTAAACCTCAAGGCAGCTTGCTTTGAGGCGTACACGCCATCCTTCAATCAGAACCAATCGGAGCTCAGCGTCGTTATGACGTCACCACATCCTCCACAAAAGAAGTGGACAGTTTGATACTTTAGACCCTGCGTCGCAGTGTTCTTCCGCGGTAAAAGGGCCGTCTCCTTTCATTGCCGTCACCACGGCAACGAACGCCGAATGACCTTTTCAGACGGCGCGTGTATCACTGACGACCGTGTGAAGCAGGGAACACATGAGCAGCAGAAACGGGCGCGGCGCGCTGATTCCCATAGCAACAGGCCAGGACGTTGTGACGTGGACCTATGCCAAGCCGCCACGTCACAACGTGCGTGCAAGTTGCCATAGAAACTGCCGCGCGGTGCCCGTTTTTGTCGCTCATGTGTTCCCTGCTTCCACTCACCGCCCCGCTTGCGTCTGCGGCTGCGGTTGCGTCTGCGGCTGCTCATTACAAAACTAGTAAACTTTGGCTGGCAGACGGCGTTCGGAAAATCGGCGTTCGTTGCCATGGTGACGGCGATGAAAGCAGACGGCCTTTATGCTGCGGAAGAACTCTGCGGCCCAGCGATACGAGGTGCGTGCTGAGGCCCTTCCCGCGTGCTTTTCAATAGGTGGAACGCGAACAAAAAGAGTTAGAAATAAGGACCCCCTCATAATTTGACAAGCCCCACACGAAAAGGAAGTTTTTATACTAAATTTTAGAGTTTTTTTTTTTATTTGTTATTACAACAACATGGGTTTAAAATATCAATGTGCCAAGAAACGGACGAATTTGCGCTCCGCGTAGACATTTCGAATAAGACATCTGGTATAGAATCTTTAAAGCAACAGTCGCACTGTCCATACATCATACAAGAGACAGAGTGTTCGCTGCAGATATGATGAGAAAATTATCGTTCGGCACGTCTCAAGCAAGCATGTTGGACGTGCATGTTGGCTTCATGTATATATGTACACTTCCATCATGTCAGCAGACACTTATATGTACGGCCAATGTGACGGGACATTACACATGAAAGAAGATAACACGTCTAAGACACTGTTGTTTGCAGACTGTCTTTTGTAGGATGTGTTGGCAGTTTAGTCATGAGCGTAAAAGTTTGCCGAACGAAAACAGATTTCGGTCAGATTACTTACTACACAGTGCTTCACTCTATGCGGAGAGGAAGTCGTCTGCTACTCGCGCGGGGGTTGCGGTGACGTCAGAACGACCGCCGAGTTCTGATTGGCTCGGCGTTCTTCCGTCATCGTAACCCCTGTGCAAGAAACAGACGAACTTGCGCTCCTCATAGTTATTTGTTGATTAATTGCGTGTGCTAACGAAATTTAGAAGAGGTTTTTGTCTCACCCATATTCCGTTGCCTCTTCGGAGAGCCTGGCGATAAATGACAGCTTTGCAACTTGTAGACGAAGATACGATAAATCCGCAGATAGCCTCTTTTCCGTATCAGCCGCACGTCGACGCAGATCAAGTGCCGTATACGTCGATGCTTTGGAGGTCGTCGATAAAGAAGTGTCTCACCCTAGTGATGCCATAACCGTGGCAATCGCGCTCCTGCTATCGATTGCTGCATTTCCATGATGCCATACACGACGGTTATGTAACGTGTCCCCGACGTGGACTGATAACGAATAGCCCGTTCGACAGGGAGGGCAAATATGCACGTCGAAAATTTTTTAGTTCGATCGAGGAGCCGCGTTTAGTGTCATGGTATGAAAGTTTTCGGCGATTACCACTTGGACGAAAAATGCCGAGTCACTGGACCGTGGGCGTATCGTGTGGCATCTAGTGTTGCTCAGAAGAGAGCAACTGCGCATGCCCAGAACGCGTTCCACAGCATAGCAAACGAAGATAACAGCGTGCAGAAGGAGATTATTTTAATGGTCCATAGACCAACACACTCGTTACAAACAAGTTCGCGTTTGCCCACACCAGGTGGGGGCACTGCGCATGCGCAAAGAGCAGATTTGCTGACGCATTTGCGCATGCGCCGCGACGACAGTAGCGCCACCGCCGCTGTGTGACGTCAGAACCGCGATTTGGTATGTAGCTGTATAACTTCACTGCAGTGAACAGAGGGCGCCTCGGACAGCTGGCTGCTGGTCAGCGCAGCTAATGGCCGAAAAGGGCCAACTTTGGGCAAGACATGCCACCGAACAATTGGACGTACCAGCGCTTGGTCACATTTCGGCAGGGCACTTGGACATTCGAGATCGGGACCAGTGCCCCGGAGTACCTCTCTCAAAGTTACACTGAATGGAAAAACCTCCACCCCGCTAAACCTCCCGACCACCGCGAGCAGATCCTGGACTCTGCTTTTTTACATGTGAGGGGCCGATCCCGCTCTGTACATCTTGTCACCCATCTTTTCACCTATTTTATCCCCCCCCCCCCCCCCCCCTTAGGGTTCAAATGACTTTGGTCAAGAGAACCGGTGTGTATTCCTTTTCACGCAAATAGACAACGTTTTCATCATCATCGTCCCTTCATTGCTCGGCCGGTAATCCATTGCTCAAAAACCTCGCGATTTTGAAGTCGAGGAGCGAAACGTCTCGTGAGAATAGCAAACATAAATTCGTAACTTCATTTTGAAGATACGTTACCCTTATCACCGGTGACTCCAAAAACGTGCTCAACAGAGTACAAAAGCATACAGGTTATTCAGCAGCTGTGCATGGGTGTGGCAAGCACTGCCCTTCACTTTACGTTTCCTTTTATTTTGTTCGTTTCACTTCATCACTGCGATAGCGCTACAAAATTTTAACTTCTCTTGTCCCCAACGCAGGCTTTGTACGACATCGTATTTACCAATTTCTGTGGTGGGCATCTGATGAGGTAAAAGAAGGTCAGTAGTGGCAGATCAAGTCTGACGCGCGCGAAAAGGGTCAGCACACAAACGTAAGAATTAGCAAAACAGAATAATACGTAATCTTACTCTTAAGATTATTTCCCTGTTCCGCTTTTGAATAAGTTCCCTCCAAAAAAAAAACTTTCGGAAACAACAAGTGTGGTTAATCTGAGGTGTTTACCTTATTACCGACGGGATGACAAAAAAGAAGACTGCAGGATTTTGGCGTGGGAAGCCAGTGGCGTGCAGCACAAAGGCACGGACGCACGCTCCACATATCGTCTCGAGGCGGCTCGTTCTGGGCTGTTCTAATCTGCTGTCTGACAGAACCGTGGTCATCTCGACTCCCAGCCCCAACAACGTAAGCTGATTCTTGTTCACAAATTAACACTTGGATTTTCTACGTGCACAGGGAACCCCAGAGGGACGCGGAACTCAAGGTTTTGCAGACCTTGAGTCGTCTCTTGACCTTTATTACTTTCTTTTTAAACGACCTTCTGGGGTTTTGAAATGCGGTTCGAATTTCGGGTCATCACCTATTCCTAGCTTGAAGCTTTTCAAGTTCAACCCTTGCTACCGTTATTCGGCTATGCATGGCCTGTTCCATACGGATCACAGGAGTCCGCTCGCCCAGTCATGCCTTCGCCCGCAGCTTGTAACGCACGAAACCCCTGGACGTCCCTGTAAAAATAAAAATAAAAAGTTTTACTATTTTTCATCTCAAGGGAATTTCAACAGAGAAAGCTCGTGCACACCACGATCGCTGGCACGAGCCTCCCGCTTGAAAGCATGTCATGGTCACTCGTGAATCCACATAGAATGCGAACATCAGTTTTATTACCCCGGAACCTCGGGAACCATGATTTCAAGATAGGTGGATTGACGGTCTGTTTTTCACCAAAACTATCAACTACGCATTGTCCAACGCTCGGTCTCTGACAAAATATGACTCTAGCGGTTGCAACTAGATTACAGAGTTTTACAGCTTGCCGTTGCCGGGTTCCAACATTTATAAGCGATTTTCAGAAATGTCCGAGGAGAAAATGGTGTTCGACGAAACCCACGAATACATAGAACCAAATGGCGTCGGCTAGCCCGGAGACGGGCCTCATTCTCTTATTGAAAGTTTTCTAATTTTGCTAAAGGTTTTTGAATCCGATAGAGGCAAGCTGTGAGAGTCGGCATCTGGTAGGATCCACCAGCGCTTGATTTGACCGAACACTAACCGCTCAGCAACAAGTTGTAACTCGATATATAAGACCCAAGTAAAGCAATATTACCTAGCAAAAACAGTGCCTCCGCCTCTCCCACGTAAACGTCAACATTGGTGGGTCCACGGAGCGTCTACGCCTGGCATCAGCGACGCCGCCAGGGTGTCTCGCAGTGTCTGATACAGGTATAACAAACACGCGACGCTATAACGGGGCGACGTCAGACACTCGCATTTGCCGCTTGCGGTCATAGAGCTAGCTAATCGGATAATCTAAAGGGAATGGTCCGATGCACTGCAATCGCTTCGGAATGGCTTGACATAGCCACGGACATCTATGGTCTCGATGGGGCCATACTTGTGGCGACGCTTCGACGTGCGAAGTCTGTCTCTGTGTTATGTTTTTTTTTATATTTTTTTTTGCAAGAAACGTTTTGTGTCGCGCATTGTGTAAAACTAATTATGACAAGCACTCAAAAAACTTTAACTCGTTGCAGCATAACGAACACACTTGACCTACCCGTCCGCTCTCTTTCTCCGCTTTGCTATCGCTCTCTTTGGCGTTCTTTCTCGCGTGACCCGGATGTCAGCGCTTACGATTTGGCGCGTTCTGCTTCTTTCTTTAAAGGGACACCGACAGGGTTGCGTCTGCTCACCGAGGGTTTTATTTGCACATGACCTATAAGAGTCCAAATACCGAGAACAAATTTGCGGCTCGAAATTCGTTTTCTTTCTGCCCGAAAACCGCCAGTCGAGAATGGGCCGGTTTCAGGCGCGCTCACCCTCTATTTCATGGCCACGTGGCGTTCAAAGCATAGTGTAAAAATGTATTCAAAGTCGTGGGTCATCTAAGACACATATTCAATATATAAACCGGTGAAGTACACCAACTTAATTTTTATGGCTTCCAAAAAATAACTGTAAATATGTTAATTAAAAAAATGTTGCACATATGACAGGAAGTACATGTACTACGCCATTCTCAATATGGCGACGTACAGGGGGCTGGACAACGCGATGGCGGCGCACGACGGACCAACGTTGCGACGGACGGGGGAACGCTACTTCGGAACTGTCGTTCGTTTCGTGTTACCGGCCAATCGATCTTCAAGCGCAGAACAGCGAGCGGAGGGGACCTAAGTTCGAAACAATTGCACGACAAACGGTACAATCGACTTCATTGTCGTCGCCGCCTACTTTCTACGCCAGACAAGCGGAGGAACGGAAGAAACAAAAAAACTGGGTGGGGAGCGAGAGCCAGGTGACTTCCGGCAACTCCCTCCTCCCCCTTCACGTTTTCCCCCTCCTCCTCGGTACGCGTAGTTGGCCATGCATCCCCGTGCTCAGTCTTCGGTTTCGGAGCAGCGAGTTTTATGGCTTTATTAAAAGTGATACTTTGCTCTTCAGAAAAATATTGATTGAGTAGTGTGACACCACTAAAAACCAAATATTAATAAATTTAAAAAAAAGAATTTTTTCGGCGTGTCAGTGTTTTTTTAATTCCCTGTTCGCGGAGCACTCTAGTCGAGATATAGAATAAATTTTCCCCTTATGGCGGGTTGGATATAAACCAACGACGGCGTTAGATGCAGGCCTTAATCTTCAAGGGTATCGGTTAGAGTAGGCAACAAGTGCTGTTTGTGCTGTGATAAGGAAATAAATATTCCACAGGATGACAAACGCCCTGCCATTCCTGGTGCTAGCAGTGATGGCGTCGATGTGCACCTCCATTCATCTGGACCCAGCCGACGGGGGCTACATGCAGGTCCTCGTCGGTATTGACAGCAGTGTGAGCGTCAATATCGACATCCTTAACAACCTGAGGGTACGTCAGACATTCAGTCAAAGTTTAAAGGAGCCGTGTAAAGGCCCGTTATCACTCTTGCGACCGAGTACGACTGAGAGAGACGAGATCTCTTAAAATTTCTTAAATGTTTTTAGAATGAGGGAACACACTGGCATTGTGGCGCCATCTATGCGGTGACCCTGGAACTGCATTTCAGAAGAGCGAAGCTTTTGCGGGATTTCCGAGGTCAAATGTGCGTAATACCAATGGAAAGGCTCGTTTATATCATTGACAAAAGTGTTTCAAGCCAAGAAAGAAAGGATAATGCGCGAGAAATAAAAAAAAAATATGCCGGACCACCGAGTTTACACTGCTTCCCAATAGATGGCGCCAGTGTGCTCTCTGGTTTAAGAAGTTTTAAGGAACCCAGGTTTAAGAGGTCGCAAGAGTGTGAACGGGCCTTAACAACAATATTAGCTGATAATGTTTCTCACTTTGCACAAGCTCTCTGGCGCTCGTGGTACCAGATATTTCCACCCAAAGACACTGATCAAGAAGCTGGGTATCCGTAGGCCTGCACTTGCCTCGGAGGAACCAAGGCTTCTGTTCCTTCAGTCTCTCCGTCGCAAAACTTGATGACAAAGTTGTGGGAATCGCATTGTTGACGCCGTGAAATGTCCGATCCCCAGGGTCTTGTCATCCAGCTTTGCGATCCTCGTGGTGACTGTATTTAAATTCGGCACATGCGGTGGACGCGACTAGAGCGTGAAAATTGGATTTGAGCTCGGGGACAATCAATGCCTCGACGTTCGAGTGCCAAATCGCTGCGATGGCGGTAGTAACCAAACAATTAACAATCGATTGAGCTTAATTCGTGTCATGTGTATTGCGAGCCCCAGCGCGTGGCTATGATAAACAGTGGAGGCAATATAATCGGCTGCAGATTATGCGACCACTTGTTCTGACTGCGATTTGAGGGGACGTGAAAGCTGCAAATTTGTCTCAAATTTCGTCTGCGACAGCCATTGCACGCGGAGAAAAACTAACGCGTATTTTACAGGGCACGAATGTAACAAAATTATTCGAAGAAGTATTCACTAAAAGTGCAAAACTTTTCGCATCGTGCCTCCACTACGACGCCACAAAAAACCTCATGCGTAAATGTTTCTTAAAAATGTGGTGCAAGGATGTTTGCACTTTCAGTACATACCGCTTAGAATGAATTCTCGACGTTCACAACCTAAGAAACACGCGTGACTTTTCTTTCACTCCACGCAACGGCAGTCTAAGTAAACTATTCGAGAAAAAAAACGACCAGCCTTCACCCTTCAACTCGCAGCCAGAACGATTGGCCACGTAACCTGGTGTCAATTGTATGCTATGAATGTTCATGGCATGCAGCATTACTACATCAACTTAATTGTGAAACTCTATTTTAGATCTAAATGATGAGATCCTGTGTTATATCTATTCATTCTGTGAGCTTGACTTACAAAGGAACAGTGACTTACATGACGCGTCATGGTTTAACATGAAGTCGTGATGTCACGTGAACTACGCTAGTAGTCATGTCATCTGTTTCAATACTTTCATAGTCGAAAATATGCAGATAAATGAAGTTTACTGATCGAATGGATTAACTGCCACGAAGTCGCCCAAAGACAGCACATTTATTGGCGACGGGACACATCGCCAGACATTGGCGATGTCTCCTCCAGGTAAGGTGCAAATTACATAAGAGCAAGACACACAACGGGACAGTAGGGTGCGATAAGGTGTCGCCGCTTTCGCTCCCGACTGTACTCTGAATCAACAAAGGACTGCTCCTTTTTTTCTACTTTTTTTTCTTTTTTTTCCTTCGTCTTCCGTACGCAGGTGTTATTCAGGAAGGCCTCTCAGTTCCTCTTCGAAGCCACCAGGGGCAAGTTCTACTTCAAAGAGGTGCTCATTAGCGTCCCCAAGAACTGGCCGAGGACGGTGCAGAGGGAACTGGTCTGGGGCAGCCAGTTCCGCGACGCCCAGTTCCAGATCATCCCACGCCTGAGGGAGCTGGGTATCCTGGCCTCGACGGCGACCGCAAGCTCCCCGGTCCGCATACCGGCCGTATTCCTCGCCAGTCTCAACGGCACCACAACCACGATATACGGAAAACCGGGTGAGCTTTCGCAGCTATGGCGCCTAGAACGCGTCTTGGACAGGGCCGGTTGGCTGCGGAATGTGCCTGCATATCTTCAGGTCGTTAAAAATATAGTCGCTAAAGTGGTTAGGAAACATCGCAATGTGAACCCTGAGACATTGCGGATGGAAATGACAAACAAGTCACATGTCACCGTGACGTCACGGGACTATGGCGCCACGGTTTCACGTGACGATATTGACGACAGACGCCCCCCATCGTCCTGTCTGTTATTTTATTTATCAGTGTCTCGGGGTTTAGACAATGATCCAGCTGTGGTACTTGGAATGCGTCTTCGACAGGGCCAACACTCTGCTGAATGCGGGCTATCTCTTCCTGCGGTTAAAATAGCAGCGAGGCACACTTTGAAGTCACGTGACCGGCTTCGTGGAGAAAACTAGAGGATCCTAGCGTTCCAGGCTAATTGATGCCGCAAGTCCGTCCTCATTTCGTGACTAGAGGGTTGAAATGTTGGTAGAGTGAACCGTATTCGATGTTCTTATCCCTTTCAAAGTGGAGATTTTTTTTTCAGGAGGCTTATTTTGTGGGTCTCTTTTATGTCGAAAAGGATTGCATTCTAAAAAAAAGTCAGTGCACGTCTCTTCTCTTTTTTTTTTTTTTACGTATTACTACGTTCTGTTTCCTCTCGTCATAAAATTGATGTCACAAAACCTTGATCCCGGAAGTGACGTCACACAGAAAACATGAGAGCGCCGACTGATTTGCATCGCCGCGCTCCCTGACGGTGGGCCGTGCCTCCAGCAGAGAACCGCGCAGTGCGCACCCGCGTCCTTTTAATGCGATAGCATCCTTTGTCTGCTCCCCCCTCCCCCGGATTACTTGGACTTTCTGGCCTCGTAGTGAGTAGAGCATTTCAGCTCACATTCTCACACTCTTTCACATTCCCACCCTTCGCAGGACCCGGCAACCTTGATGTCGTCCTTGAAGTTGTCCTCGAGGTTGTCCTAGAGGTCGTCCTAAAGGTCGTTCTTGACGTTGTCCTCTAGGACGTCATCCTCGACGTCGTCCTAGAGGTCGCCCTTAAGATCGCCCTAAATGTCGTTCTAGACGTCCTCGTCGACGTCGTCCTAGACTTTGTCCTTGAGGTCGTCAATGAGATTGCCCTAGCCGTCGTCCTTGATGTCGTCTTTGAGGTTATCCTAAGCGAATGGTCTCGCAAATCATAGACAAGCAACCAGAGCGGTTTCTGCAGCAATTTCTTATCTGCTGGCTTGCTCGTTTGCTCGCTTCAACACGATGTGCTCCTGTCTGATTGAAGCGGCCATAGACGCCACTCCGGCAGCCGTGATTCCACAATCTTCGCTTATCGTTCTGTACAGCAGTCGAGCGGCCGAGGTCGCCTCTTCTGCGGCACTGGCAGTTTACGCGACTCTCAAGCGGGACTCGGCGAAGCGTTAACCCCCCTCTCATTTCTTTGTGCCACCCTCACGTAGTTCTACGGAAATTTATGCAACATAGTACACCTATGCACCGACCATTTTTTTTATTAATTTTTATCTTGCGGGAGCACGTACTGTTCTTGCAAGCTGTCCAAATTCGCTGAACCGATTTTTCAACCTGTTCAGTAGATTTAGAAAGCATCGAAGGAAATGTTGAGGACGAAAAATTGTCGCCTTCCTTTCATGGGATATAATTTTCAGCTTTCCTCTTCCAATCAACATTGTGAGGGTCTCAGACTCTGACACGGAGGTACTTTACAGAGTCTCTGCGTTGCATGATAAGTTCTCATGAACTGATCTCTATTCCGAGAAGTGTCTGAATTCTTAATCTAAGCAGCTATAGCACTCCGAGTGCCACTACCTTCGGAGCAACCGACACACAAAGCGGTCTCTTCCAGCGTATCACTTGAGCAGAGTGTCGAATTTTGAAACAATAATTTGCGCCAGCAAAGCGAAGCATGGTGCAAATAAAACAAATTTAGTTCCCCATTTACATAACGAACAGCAACACCTCCCGGGCTGCTGTGTCGAGTCTCGGCCTGGGTCTTTCATATTGCAGCGCACTGTACGGCGGCGATTATATACATTGGAAATGTATATAATCGCCGCCGTACAGTGGGCTGCAATATGGAAGACCCAGGCCGAGCGCTTCAAGGGGGTCTTCCATATTGCAGCGCACTGTACGTGTGCAGCGGCGGTCATGAATGCTGAACGCTTCTCCGCAGCGATACAGGTATACGACGACGACCGTGAAAGGGTTAAGAGCGGCCCGTAAAGTATTTTTCTGGGAAAGGTCGTGTGAAGCAACAATTGAAGAAACCCACAGACAAGTCTTACATCTGATGAGCGGGATCGGCCGGAACGTTGGGTACTTTCGCCTCATGGAGCAAGTCACGTGACCTCAAAACTCCTTTTGCGATTATTTTAACAGCCGGCTGAGACTGCCGCCTTCACCTGCAAACGGGCCGGGTGTGTTCACAGTCCTCGTACCCACGCATTGAAAGTGGCTCCGAAGTAGCAAAGGACTGCGTCGCACCAGCCGGTGCGTCACGCTGTCGGATGGTGCAATCATATAGCTGTTGGTTATTGTCGAAATGCTATCGAAACAGGCGACGGGTTGCCAAGTTTACAGCGACCCCTGCGACAATTTGCCTTTTTCGACTGTGTCATCGTGTGCCAACACGCTGCTGTATTTGTTTCTGACGACTGCATCACCGCAGAGTGAGTTAAAGCACTACAGACGTCTGCCGTGTGCGACCACCACGCACGATCGCAGCACATCTGCGACGTCATTATTCGGACATCGGTAAACACCGCTGTAAATGAACACCTGTTTCTTTACCGCGGTCTTAAAAGTGTACAAGGCTAGCGTTATTAGACCAACTCAGTCATTGAACTGCCCATAACATTGCTTCTATGAGCAGTACGTCCCCCCTTCCCATAAAAGTTCGGCTCTCTTCGTTTGACACGCCGCCATTTAGGCGACGGCTACTATCCTTACTATACATTGTACTCTATGTAATACTAGGTTTAGATGCACAGCGCCTATAGTAGATTGCGCTTCATTGTAGCGTCTTCGAAGTATATACAGTTTTTGAAACGCCGCCTCTGAGTATGCGCTTCAAACGACGAATGACAGACTTGAGTGGCAGATGTTGTCCCCCTCCACGAGAGTTCGACAACTGAATTGATGTAGTAACTTAGGCCATAACCTACCAGAATTGTCGGTGCTTGAACATTTGCGTGACTTGCAAGCGACCTCATCGCAACCTCCTGCTCGTCGTTTCTACTTGTCCTTGCAGAGACAAATATTAAGGCATTAGTGTTAAGGAGTTCGTGTAGCAGAAAAACCTGCGTCGGCGATATGTGAAGAACTTTAGGCGGGATTCGGACCCAGGACCTTTCGGTTGCAAGCCAGCTAGACACGCTAACGACTAGGCCACGCAGAGACGCTTGCACGAAGCTTGGGAACGGGCGGGTGTTTATATGTTTAGAGATCGCGTTCCACTCTAAAAGGTGAAGCTTAAAGGGGCGATGCAACAATTTTTGTACTTTGCGCAAATACCGCTTAGAAGGGATCCCTGACGTTAATGACCTACAAAACACGCGTTCGTTTTTCACCCCACGCAATAGAAGTCCCAGTAAAAAATTAAAGAAAACCAAGCAGGTTCACCCCCTCAACTCGCAGCCAGAACAAGCTGCCACGTGATATGGAGCCGATTATATGCCGCCAATGTTGATCATAGCCACGCGCTGGGGTTGGCACTGCACAGGACACGCGCTGAGTTCCAGACATTGTTATGGCTCGGCTATTGTCGTCGTTGCAGCGATTGGACATGGGCCACTACCCAAATGCTTCTCGAACTAGCAATTATCACGAGCCCAAATCGAGTGCCCACGCAATGCTAGGGTCCAATCTATGAACAGCATTCAAATATCGTCATATGGGTGTACTCCGATCCCCACTTTACGTCATCAAACGTCGTCAAATTTTGCAAAGGAGAGATTGAATGAGAATGATCGCTTTCGTCTCTGAAATTGCACCGCAACAAAGGAGTTTCTTGGCCAGTGGCGTTGCGTGCGAGTAACCTTGAGTTCCACTAGTGCGAGTAAGCTCGTGTAAAGTGAAAAACATTCCAATTGAATATTGTTGCACCGTCCCTTTAAACATCGTCCAAGTATATATTGTATATATAAAATGTATGTTGTAGGAGATACGCGCACAGCAGAATGGCCGCCACAATGGCTGCCGATGTGACGTCATTTCAAGCCATGTTTAAACTCGCTCACCGGTTTGACCTGTATGCTGTTTCCGAACCGGGAATCTCGAATGTTACATTTCGGCCATCTTACCTAACGGCTTGTACAACGCATGGGGAAAGATGTCGGAATCCGATCAGGCGCTGGCCAATCACGGTGTCACTGTCGTTCACGTGATGTCGTGATTGGATGGACGAGGCCATCTTTTCGGCGCGTCGTATGACACGTCTGGCCTTTTGTCGTGCGTGTGTTCGGCACTCTGTTCTTGCCGTGGCACGGGGATTGGCGGTCTGCACGCTTCTTTGTCATGTGCTCGTGGATAAAAAGTGGTTGATGCGATACCCGTGGTTCTCTTTGCAGAGTACCACTTGGTACATCACTGGGCAATCCACCGATACAAAGTTTACTCCGAGAGCGCGGACGATCCCAGGAAGAAGTTCTACTGCAGCCCCAAGCCGGTACGTTCTAAAGGAGCTCTACATCTCGTTTCTATCATTGACAGAGACGATGTAACACCTTCGTAAGAACGACAGCTTGTACACGCCAATTTACGAAATGTCCCATTGTCACAATTAAGGATTGGTTAAAGTTAGACACCTCGCGAACAATGCAAAGGACGACGTTTTTTTTGTTTTTGTTTTTTTTATTTATTAAACTTATTTTTATCAAGGTTAAAAAAAGGCATGAACATGCACGAAACTCCAAACACAGATGCGATTGAAACTGTAACTGTGTTTGTCTGCCCCCCCCCCCCCCCCCCCCGATCCCTTTTCTTTTTGTTCTTTTTTTTTTTTTCAGCGAATTTTTGGATTTTTGGCGTACGTGACCAGAAACTTAACGCTCGCACCGCCGCACGTGCCGCACGCGCAAGCATTCCGCGTATAAAAGATTCGAAGTAAATAACCAAAATAAAGCGTTCACGAACGCGCGTGCAAGATGCACGAAAGCTGTGTTGTCTGTTTCCTCCCCTCGTGTGTTCCTTTCGTTTTAAGTCAATCTAGATCACCAACACGCTCAAATCTTTAAAGATGCCATTTGTTTTAGACTTTCAGACGCCGGCACGTGCCGCGCGAGGAACACCATTCCCGCTATTGTCCTTGATGCTTTGTGTAATTTAGCAATAGGTCTATTCAGTAGATTGGTTATCAATAGGCACCATTTTCAAGATCAGCAGATTCTCAGGTAGATAATAAAGGTTTGTCAATGATTTGCCGCTGTGCGACCCGCGTCGTCCATGTCTACGCTCGCTCCGCCCCCTCTTTGTTGCCCTCCAGTAGTAACGAAAGCGCTTCCTTGCCTTGTTTCCTTTCGTTCCGCTCTTCCGGGGTGGCGATCCCGTTGCGCGTGTCTACTTTCCGCGGGTGGCGGTCCGGTCGCGCGTGTCTAGTCTCCTCCGGCTTCTCGGGGCGGGTCTGTGTCGTGTGCTAAACATATTCGCTGGTCATTCACCTTCACAGAGTGGAGTGGCTAATGATGTTTTTTTGTTTTTCTTTCGTTTTCTCTTGCTTCAGGGTCAAGGCGTGCGTAGACACCGGCAGAGTGTTAGCCAGTGCACTCATGGGTATTATACGCGTATATACTTCGAAAACGCGTGACGCCTCAGTGTTCCGCGTGAACTCGCGTCGGCGACTTAGTTTAAGATTCGTCTTTTTGCTCTATAAAAAACAAAAAAACAAAAAAAGAGGAAAACTACGCGTCCTTCAAGTAAACAATATATTGGGTAGTGCATCCTGACTCCCAAAGCAATTGCCCTGCATGAAAAATACAATTATGGGCGTGTCAGTGGCTTTTTGAAAAGGATGCTACAACGAAATTTCGGCACTTATTTCTTTGTCTATTCGTGCTCTCTTGATGAAAAAGACACGAAAAGGAATTTGAAAAGTAATTAAACGATTGGCAAAGAGCACCTGGTGGATGTCGCTAACGCCTCGTTTGTAATGCCCATTTAGGAACCTTGGCAGGTAGTAACTATAACTGTCTCGCCTCCGGCCACCACGAGAGAAAAGGGGAAGTAGAACCTCCCCTCTTCCCGAGACTTCCCTTTGTGTCCCGGAAACGTTGCTATAGGGACAATCCACAAGATTATAAAAGATTAACCCTTCACTCAAAATTCGAACGCAAGCAGCTTTGGGGTTAGTTGCGGTGGCCCGATCGCTGGTGGGCTTCGGCCGCTTCGGTGGCTGGAACAGCTAGGACATCCCCTCGACGTCAGCCTCGCCGGAGCTTTGCTCGTCCCGAGACAATCTACGTCACGATTGCTGCGGACCTGGCGTACTCTCCGCTGGCTGCTCTCCGAGCGCTTGCCAGACTGGGCCGTTTATAACAAAAATACAGCCATCGGGCTCAAAATAAAATCGTTCAGCCTTTCCACTCTCGTGAAGAAGGAAGACCAGCGGAGCTGTACTCGATACACTGTGTGCTTCTTCTTCGTCGTCGTCTGCTTTTCGCGCTGTTTCCTACGCGTAATTGCCACCAACGCGCCCAACTATCCATTCTTCTATTATACCTGGAAAGGTTGGCGCCATCTACGAGCGACGGCGGAAACCATACTGGTTGTGTGCTTGCCGCCGTCGCTTATAAATGGCGGTAGCTGTCCAGGTAGGTTTGTGTCGACATACACGGACACGATCCTAGGGAACCTAGCCCTTAATAGCTCCGCTGTAAAAAAAAAAAAAAAAAAAAGGGGCGATTGTCATTAACGGATATAGTGGATAACATTCAACCTATTTCTGAACACGACGTGCATATTTCAAATTTCGTTGAAATCTCCCTTTAAGCTTCCCTATAGCTTCGTAATTCGTCTCTCGGTGTTCTTCGTGAGGGGTTAAGTACGCGCATTCTTTTTTTCCTCCTCATGATGGACAATCCACAATAGGAACGGTCTTTGGGGAGGAACGGAGGTGTCCGTTTCCCCCCAACGAGATACGTCTGTATACGCTGTTGTGCCCGTCGCCGAAAATGAATAGCGAAATAGCGTTGCTCGTTACTTCGTCGAGAATTTACGCGTTACTAAGATTCATTACTGCCTTCCAAACATAACGAAATACAGTTTCGTTATCTCCAAAAACCTAATAAATGTTACCTTTGCTTTCTTGCGAGTTCAGTATAATTGGCCGCGATAGGCCTAAGATAAGAACTTCGACAACAGTTCATCTTGTATAGAAAGATTTCAGAGCGTTTGTTTTATTTTTAAAATGAATTTGCGGAATATTTTATTGTTATTAAAAAAATTAGAGAAACAACGCCACGGAGAAGAAAATACGGTATTCTCCCTTTCCGGCAAAGTTTAAAGAATGCGAGTTAATTTTTTTCAGCTAAAACAAACATTATTAATCAATAGTAACAAGTGACGTAATGCCATAGGCAGTATAACGTAGGTAGTGACAAGAATAGTTTACTCGCTAGTGATTTAGAAATTAAGCGAGTACGCTACTACGCTACTGCAAAAAGTACCGCGTAACCAGTAACGTCGTCGGGTATTTGTAACCCAACATTTCTAGCAGTGTAAACGACAAACTTCCGGCCATTGTCTCGTGCATTTTCAGAATGGCGCTGAGATGAAAGCGGTGAGATGTAGTGACCTGATATCCTACAATGTAACGAACGGAACCGGTGGCGTGTGTCCGGACATGAACTCCTGCTCCACGTCCCCCTATTCCTGTGACGTCACATATTACCAGGGCCCTGACCGGGCTGCCGAGTCCGTCATGTTTCTGCCCTACCTTGAAGGGGTGAGTCTTAAAAGAAATGTTCTAAAGGAGCGGTGCAACGATTTCTTGTAATTTGCTCAATTACCGTTTACGATTAATCCCTGGCGTCTCTAACCTCATGAATCAGGCGTTAGTTTTTCTCCCCGTGCAACGGTAGTCGCACAAAAAAAGTGAAAGAAAAACGAGCAGCGTTCGACCCCTCAACTCGCAGCCAGAACAAGCGGCCACGTGACCTGGAGTCCCTTGCATGCCGCCAATGCATATAATAGGCACGCTCTGGGGACGGCAAAGCAGTGGGCACGCGCTTATTTCCAGATATTGTTAGGGTTAGACAGCTTTAGGGTCGCTGTATATTGTAAGGGTTAGCCAGCGAGCTTAGGGTTAGAAATTATTATGGTTAGGGTCAGACATTTTTACGGTTAACCAGCTAGCCGAAAGGCACCTCGACTCGCTGGGTGACTTGCCTGGACCGTCACCGAGTAACCGACACTCAGGAAGCGGCTTTCTCATCATTCAGAAGGTCATGTCGTCCTCATCTTGTATATAGGAAGTATTCACTGGCGGCCACAGCTGTGTGCACGACTGCTGAATGCGTGCTGGTGGCGAGCTTCCACAGTTCTTTTTTAACGTGCATTCCGCACCCTCAAGATTGCCGGTCTTAGCAGCCTATTAATGTGGGCTCGAATCAGGGCATGCGCTCTAGACATCACCCACAAATATGGCGCCCAGTGAATACTCCTTATAGTGTCATCTGATAATTACCATCACTAGACGCGGAACCACGAACCTCCCTGCCGGGTGATTCAAGGAGACGGCAGGCTCTTTAAATCGACCGGAAAATTGGGTTTCTTTACCTATTGCGCAACGACTTTGTGCACCGTTGTCCACAGATGGTGCAATTTTTTTTTTTTTTTGTAAAATTTGCAAAGAGCGATTTTACCTGAGGAAAAAGTAAAGAAAGAAAAAAGGCTTAGCTCCTATGGAAACGCAGCGACGCCACCGGTCTTCAAACAACACGGCGCCGTTTCGCTCGGGAGACCAGAGATGGCGCAAGCGGTTGCGACGCCAACTGCCGCCAACGAACGAGCAGACGACGCCGAGAGCCGGCGTATTTAGCAGACAAGGAACTGCGGTTCCTTGTTGTTACCGCGCCCGTTTTTGTTTCTGCGACTGTCGCCGCCTGCGGAACGCGTACCGCTTTTGAGTTGAAAAGATCGTCTGTTAAGACACCGGCTCTCGGCGCCGTATGCTCGTTCGTTGGCGGCGTTCGTTGCGCCATCGCTTGTCACCTGTGCGAAACGGCGCCGTGTTGCTTGAAGACCGATGGCGTCGCTGCGTTTCCATAGGACCTAAACCTTTTTCTTTCTTTACTTTTCCCTCAGGTAAGTTCGCTCTTTGCAAATTTTACAAAAAAAAAATGCACCCTCTGTGGGCAACGCTGCACAAAATCGTAGCGCGATAGGTTAGGAAACCGAATTTTCCGGTCGATTTAAAGAGCCTTCTTGAATCACCCGGTAGTACGGACTGTTGCCTTTCTATGGTGCCGCCGCTCTCTTGAGCAAATGAAGATTATTATTATTATTATTATTATTATTATTATTATCGGTGTCGTCGTCGTCATTACTATTATTATTATTACTATTATTTTGGCTTTGGTTATCGTTGCAGCGATTGGACCGGAGCCAACATCCGAGCGCTTGTCGAACTACATGATTATCTCCGGCCGAAATTGAGTGCCCACGGAATGCTCGTTTCCAATCTATGAGCCGCGTTCATGTATTGTTGGTTACTCGGGGTTTTCCGCCAACATTGCGACCTCCGAACTACGTCGTCAAGTTTTGCGAAGGGCAGATTGGAAGAGAGCGCTCGCTTTTATCCTTGAAATTAAGCCGCAACAAAGAAGTTCCTTGGTCAGTGGCATTTCGTGCCAGTATTCATGGGTCCCACTAGTGCCAGCAAGCTCGTTTAAAGTGAAAAACATTGCTACCGAATATCGTTGGACCGTTCCTTTGTGTTGTTCAGCAATCTGTATCATTCATTTTGAGACAGATGTAGACGGGCTGCTTAAAGGGAGACTGAAGCGGTTCCGAACCTCACTGGTGCGGGTTGTTGCCTTTCAACGGTGCTGCCGCTCTTTTGAGCAAATGAAGTAGATGATGATGATGATGGTGATTATTAATATTATTATTATTATTATTACTATTTGCTGGCTATGGTTAACATTGCAGCGATTGGACACGAGCAAATATCCGAATGCTTGTCGAACTACATGATTATCTCCAGCCGAAATATAGTGCCCACGTGATGCTCGGTTCCAATCTATGAGCCGCGTTCATGTATGGTTACTCGGGAGTCGGGGGAATATGCCAACAGTGCGACCTCTCAACTACGTCATCAAGTTTTGCAAAGGAGAAATTGGAAGAAAAGCTCGCTTTCATCCTTGAAATTACACCGCAACAAAGGAGTTCCTTGGTCAGTGGCGTTTCGTGCGAGTATACTTGGGTCCCACTAGTGCCAGCAAGCTCGTTTAAAGTGACGCATTCCTACCGAATATCGTTGCACCGTTCCTTTGCGTTGCTCAGCAGCCTGTGCCATTCATTTTAAGACAAATGTAGACAGGGTGTATAAAGAGAAACTGAAGCAGTTCTGTAATTGAAAAGAAGAAAAAAGCATTTATACCGTCTTCATTTGGCCTCTAGGAACACGAATATCAAAAATATATTTCAGATTGACCTGCCAAATAGCTACAACTGTGCTTTCAAAATAGCGCTGAAGACCCTCCTTCGGGGCGCGTTCGGTGCGAGAAGGGAATTGTGACGTCAGAGATCTCGACATTTACGCGCCTTCCGCAAGCTTTACCCGGACAGTCAAAAACCTCTGCAAGAGTTTCCTCGCAAGCGGCGCGCTCAAGACAGTTGTCAGCATTTAGTATGACGTCACAACAATCGTTTCTTGGGGGGAAGGGGGGGGGGGGGGGTCGTTTTATTTTTTTTTTCTTACGTTTATTGATACGCTTGGGGCATATGCTTCATTAATTTGTGCACAAATCCCTCAATACAAAACTTGTTGACCATATTGAGAAACATCCCAGCTTGTCGTTTTTATTATGGTAGCCCTTGCGTGTCTAATTCTTTCAAGTTTCAAAGAAAGCGCGCGAGATTTTCAAAACATTTCACGTGACAATTTGCTGGCGAATTGCGATGTTGGTTCCCTTAGTCACGAGAGAAAAGTTATTTATCGACACATTCGCCCTATTTGAATTGCAATGATAGGCTTAAGCAACATTTCAAGTGGAAACCACTCTTTTCTGAGGTCCCCTGATGAAGCATGTGGCGCTCACGTTCTTCGAACAAGGTCACGCGAAGTGCACGGTTCATCAACTCGCTTTTTTTAGACCATCCCCCGTCTTTTTCTGGATATGCTCAATTTTCCAGACATTTTCCTTCGTGCGTCATTGAAAAGGGCCGCGTGGTGCAACATGCTGCACATTTTGCGACCACGAGCTTCTAAGGCCGTGATGTGAACGTCGCTAAATTGACATTCATTCCCGAGGGTCTTAGAGTCTTCCGACAATTATCGAAAACAATCACCTCACGCGAGGTTTATACGCCAATTTTTCTCGTTTTTTCTTATTTTTATTTTTCAATATTAGGTAAAACTATTTTGTGACCAGGACACCCACAACCCTTTGGGAAACAATAAGCACAACAGGGTTTATAAGGGACTGTCCACCTGGGAAGTCATCATGAAGCACAAGGACTATTTGAAGTACGTATACTCAGCCTCGTCGCACAAAACGCTGCATGCTTAACCCTAGAGTTGCTCTTGAGAACATAATATTTTCTAATGCGCTATGGTTAAGAGAGACCTATGAGCTAAAATTAAAATCACGATGTGAGCATTTTGCTGAAATATGGCTCTACGGTAAACAAAGGTCCTCGAGTTGGATATAAAAATACCTACCGAATAAAAAATTCAAACATCCATACCACACGGTCTGTTTTGTTTCCTTTTTATTCAAACGAAATTGGTTAGTCTTGTAAAGTATTATATGGGCAAAGATACTCTAAAAAGCATTTAGTGCCAAGCTCATTAAAGTCGGCATCTATCGGAACAGGATTGATACCGTGCAGTCAAGTAGTGATGGTCATCATGCCCAATGTATGGGCCCATATATTGGGCATGATGACCATCACTACTTGACTGCGTGGTGTAGAATCTATGGACGCGTTTAACACGGCATGATAAATCTAAAATTAACAGCAAGATTTAGACGCTGCAGTTCGCACTATTATCCCTTCTTTTCGCCATAGAGTGGAAAGAAGTGTCGATAAAAAGCCATTACACGTTATTTCGTTTACTGCAGAATAAAAGCGTTAAAGAAAAACGTCGACTGCCATTCTCGGGCTCTCTAGATGCTTTGTATATCCCAGTTTTACTCGTCATTCGTTTTTTCCCCGCCTACTTTCGTGTTAGCATACCAGAGATTCGCCAGGTGTTGTGGATACGAAGAATGATAACGCCAAGATTACGGCTAATAAAAATAAACGCTCATGTCGCACGTTACGGGAAGCAGAAATATTCGCCCGGTAGTTCTTGTGAGCTTTAAACGAAAAATAATTTAACGCCCTAACCTCACCCTAAGTCCGACCGCAACCAACGCCACGGAACAACTCAACTCATTGACGTCACGGCCCTGTGGTGGCGCTCCTGTCGTTACTGCGCATGTGCAAACGTTTCACTCCTCCCGAATTCGGTCTCTGCGCACGCGCAGTGCCCAGACCAAACCTGGTGTGGGCAAAGCGCGCTTGTTTGTAAACACACTTTCTGTGTGTAGCTACGAATTCAAACGCAGAAATGAGGGTCAGAGTAAGTATTGGAAAATAAAATGAAAGCTAAGTTGGATGAATACATGTATTTCAATGCGAAACGTAATATTTAGCTAATTATGCCGTTACACAACAATTGCGGCCACAAAATCTTGCCAAGCATAAACCAAAGCACATGGAAACTTTGCCAGATTCGCGCGGTGCAATGCTAGACTGATGAGAACGATAAAGCTAACGCTGGCACGCAAGAACGTCAACGATTTCTTACGCGAGTCACAAAATTGAAACATGAAGCCGGGAACTATAAGAATGGTGACGCCGATGACGACAATTTTCAGTTACTACGAGAGAACCTCATTGAGGTGCAGTCTTTTTCCCTATTTTCTGACATCATCTTGTGTGCATTTAGAGCGCGGCACAGCGCCGTTTTCTTAAGTGCACATCTTTGGGGACCGGTTGCAGCGGAACACTTGAAAGCGGGCCTCGGGCCGGGTTTCTTTGGAAGAACCGCGGCCAGCCGCTGTCCGGTCGGAAGACTTCCACGGGCCGGATCTGGCCCGCGGGGGCCGGGGTTCGGAGACCCCTGTTTGAGTCGATAATAGCAAAACCACAAAGAGAGCGAGGGCCGTGACAGTGCACTTTTGGCGTCGTGTGATTGGCTCTATTGGATTGTAGCATCGGCGGAATTTTGACTTAAGCCGGGGTCACACTGCTTATACGTCATACAAAAGGCAGTCTGCATATAGATTGGAACGCCAGTCACCGCGAAATCCGTGCTTCGAATGCCGCATGGCAACGAGGAAAGTCGATTGTATCGCAAATTTTACATTTTGACGCAGTTGTGAAAATGCGTACATTAGCGCAACACGCAACACTGTAGCGCAACACAAGGAAAAGAAAAAGCTTCACTACAACAAGACATACTGCGATGTCTGGAGAAACAGACACCATGTCCAAGGTACAGACTTACCATGGCTAATAATATTTTGTGAAGTGCCGTGCACGAAATGGTGTTTACTATGTGTCGTGTTCTATGTGTTCGACTTTGAGAACACGAGCTTGGGCTACACCCTTTTGCTTTGGACCGGCTGTTATAAAAAGCGCTAAAGAAGGTATTAAAGCACTACCATGTGCAGATGACGGGCATAACATCTAAGGCGAAAATAGGGTTTCATTCGTCAGATTGAATCTCCCGATAACTCTTCCCCTCTCCAGAATTGCTTCAACCACTCTTCTGGCCCGACAAACTTATTTTTGGAAAACACACCTGCGGTGTGAAGGTTACCTAATATATCTTTCATTGTAAAAATGCAAGTGTAGCAGAAAACAACGAATATTTAGTATTTTATTTATTTGGAAAAGGAAGGTAAATTTGGGCAGAAATAGGGAAATTTCAGACGTCCCCGAGGGAAATTTTGACTTTCCGTGTTGGCAGCCCTGATGCAGACTGTCTTTTTCATGGTCATAGGCAGTGTGGCTTTAGTGTTTTCTTCTAATCTTCAATGCGTACATTAACTACTTTAATAAGTTGCATCACTCGACTATCAAGCCGCTCGTGGAAGTTGGTATCGTCGGTTCCATGGACGTCAGTGGATTGAACGTCGAATTGTAGTTTTTGCAGAGTTATATATGGGACAAAGGGTACAAGTATTACACCCCCTATTTCCGAGAGAGTATAGTTAAATAATCAGGACTTGCCCTGCACTTCTTAGGTTGTCAGTGGAATGGTCTAGAGCTTTACATTTTTTGCTTTGTTGATTGGCAGCCATATTTCCGGTCGGCTCGTCTAAAAAGAACACCGTTCTGCCTAAACCTGCGTATATGTATGTGATATATGTTTCTTTCTCTGCAGATTGGCCAAACTCCCGGCTAACAGAACCATTCATACCACTTTTCGCGAGCAGCAGGAGATTGAAGACACGGGATCACGCATGGTGTTCGTCTTGGACGTGTCGCACAGCATGAGAGTAATTTCGTACACTATTACAGCGCTCTGTATACTCTATGTCCTTATTGAGTTCCTCCCCAAACACTGCAATCCTATGTAGCCTATTAAGCAGCGCTAAAAGGAGATATCACGGCACTCGCCGTTTTTGTGCCCTTGCTTTCACCGGCTGAACCAAGCAGGTACATCAAAAAGCGCAGAGTCACGCTGCACTTAGTCCACGTTAATGATCTAGCCGCTGATATTGGCGACTCAAGCGAAATCGACGCCGCGTAGCGATAACGCCGTGTAGCTCAAGAGAGGATTGTCGTTTCGACTCTATCGTCTGCTAGCGCCGTCTGGTTCTCGTATCACATAGAAACGAGCATCGTTTCCAGTAATTATTTGTATGCTTCCGCCGTGTCATTCCTACGCACTGAATAGAAAACGTTTTTTCACCGTCGAGAGCTTGCTTTGCCTTCATATGTAGTAGCACCTATTTTGCGCTGCAGTGCAAGAAATTTATGGCGCTCCGCCTGCTGAATGACGAAACCGACCTCCTTTTGTCCGCCATTTTGTCTGACCAGCGCGCCCCCTATAGTTTGCTGGAGTCGCGAATACATGAAGGTCCCGAGAAAAGAGACCCATGTTTTTCAGTCCGGGGGATAAATAAACCGCATCGCAGAAAGCTCAAATTCTCTGAGAATGGGCCGACAGCGGCTGGGATAGAACTCGAAAAGTTTGATAACATGGCGTTACCTGTATCAAAAAGATAACTGAGACAAACAAAATTTTTATATGAGCGGTCAAAATGAAAAAAAAAAAATGACATTCCGTGTGCCTGTAGCATCTACTTCAGAAAAAGAAAAACTTGTCAGGAAGAAAGAAAATGAATATTCCATTTCTTGCCGGCAAGTGTTTTCCCCTGATATAGATCTCACGAGCGCCCACAACGTCTAGTTTTGTTTTGACGATATTAGGCTTATGTGAAAGTCTGCTGGTAAAGAAAAAAAAATGTAATTACCTTTTTATTTAGGTAACGTCATATTTTCAATCTTTCGCGTGCTATACCAACCGCTAGCGTCACATTCTCACGAGTTTGAGCTTTCTGCGATGCATAGTTTCTATGCGAGTGCAGAAAAAGTCGGTTCTCGTTTCTGGAGAACTCCCTGCACTTCGTTCCACCTCAAATCCAGACGCAGAAGCCGCCACGAGCTAATCGAACCAAGTAGACAGCGTTAAAAACACACCTCCATGGTGTTCGTCGTGTCCACTAGATATTCTATTATCGTCGAACCAAAATTAGACACAAAAGGTTCAGTGACTCGAGCTTTTGACGCTACTTAATTGGTAGCAGTGGCTATTGCATCACCTAGGTCTGAACTTCAGCTGCAACAAGGTGGGGCAAACGCGCAAAGTTGACGAGTGCCATGACGAGGAGAGTATTCCTCCACTACACTTGATCGGCTCTGTCGGATTGTATAACATAAAGTGAAACAGAGTTTAGACGGCAGACGCGCCGAATATTCCGCACGACCGACAGACAAGGGACCAGCGATCCGGACAATGATTGGCGACGAGTGCCACGTCAGCGTTCGGCAGAGATTCGCGTTCACTCAGTCAGTGCACGAACCTCATCCGAAGGCGCTGATACGCGCCGCGGATCATGTGCCCGACGCTGTTTCTTTTGTCGGTGGCGTAGAAATTGCGGTGCACACGATACCTCTCATAAGTCTGACCGTAGCTGACGTGATGATCCGATAGTGTTCATTAAGCAGAGCCAAGAATAGAGAGTTTTAGGGAACCGTTTTTGCAGATCCAATACGGAACGATGGACCCTCCGGTACGCACTGCGCATGTGCGAGTTTTCTGCGGCAGCGCATGCGCAGTTTGTACCAGAGGGACTATTGTTTAGTTGACAATTAACACCATCGGATCATCGCGTCAGCTACGGTCCGACTTATTAGAGATATTGTGTATTCGGAGAGCAAGTCGTCTGTTTCTTGCACAGGAGTTTCGGTGACGTCAGAACAACGCCGAGCTCTGATTGGCTGTGATTGACCTCAATGCTAGATTCCTCGAGGTCTACAAACTAATATATTTTTTCAGTCAGCCAAATATAAGACTTCGGCGTTCTGGCAGCATCGCAACAACTGTGCAAAAAGCAGACGAACTGGTGCTCCGCGTGGAAGTAAACGCAAGCACTGAGCGCTTTCGTTAGCGTTAGCTGCTTTGCACAGCGCGTGCTCCATACGAGTACGCAACGCCGCGAGCTTTACGTATGCGAGCGCTCGCTACCGATTTTGGCGTACGTACGCAGCGGTCCTCTGCATGCGTCTGGACTTAAAGAAGAAACACCCCCCCCCCCCCCCTCAAGAAAAAAAAAAGTTTTTTTTTTTTTAGGCGATTTAATGTAGTGTTAGGACACTACCCAATCAACATGTAGCTTCAGAGACACGTATATCTTTATAAAGACAAAAAAACAACTGTTCGAAACCGAAACCGAAACACGAGCACGAAAGTTCATGGTAGGAAGATGCGTGGCCACACACGTCGTCGAAGGACAACTCACGATGTAAGCAGCGGGGAGATACTAAGCCGCACCCTGCGTCTCCTAAAATGTCAGTTATTAAAAAAGTATACAGTCCATTACTCCACCCGTATGCATAGCGCACCTGTACAGCCACAAATCCTCCCATGGCGGGAGGACAGCCCGCTTCAGAGAGAACGCAAGCGCATCGCACCGTCCACACTGTCGCGCTTTCGTGCTGCGCTAAAGAGAGAGAGGGAGGGCTGCCACCGACGCACCGAGACACCGGAGTCGCCGAGACTGCAAAAACGGCTGTCATGCACCGAGCTGTCTCGAAGTATGTTCACGGCAATAGATGACGGTTTCCCATCCCAAATTAAAATGAAAAGAACCACGAGAGTGCACGCGTCCAGCCGTTGTAACAACGCGAAAGCTGTCGGCTGCAAGGCCATTGCATTTTCGAGGAGTAAGACCTTTTCTCCGTACTCCGCAATTCCTACCCCAGCCTATGCGACAATCCCATATGGTCATTCAAGCAGCACCAAAAGCGCATCACCCCCGCGCTCATCGTATCTGTGCGGTCCAACTTGTATTGAAACAGAGTATTCGCAACTCCAGCGCGCCGCTCTCCCTCCCGCGTACGATGGAAGAACTAGAGGAGCGGGGACGGCAGCGGCGGCGGCGGCGCGGAAAAGGTGGCAGGGGCTGTCCGCCTTGATGCGTGAAGCCGCTGTAACAAAAAAAGTGAGCGCGTTAAGATAGGAATTCTTGTGCTACACCTCGCAACAGCCTTGCAGGAAGGACGGGGTTGTCTAATTTTATTAGGGACTTTTGGTATATCTCACACGCTGCGGATTGCTGGTCGTGTGCATGACCGCCAGCTCGATCTGTGCTCAACGTGACGGCAAACGTCACGTTGAGCACAGATAATGTAGAGCTCTAACGTTCTGTATATGAAAAGTCTATTCTTTGCCCCAAAAAGCTGGTCGCGCAACGATATGTCGAGCAATACACGTTGGGAATGGGTTTGCGTTTTAAGGCCATGGAAACAGGACATTTATTCCAAGCACTTTTAAAAGATATAATATGCGTACTTGCTTTCAGCTAATTACAAAATGAGTAAAAAAAATGCCCGAAACGTTTTCAGCGCGTCTGTGTTAGCCAGCCGTTCGTGACGAGAGCTTGGAACGGGCAGTTTTTGGGAAGAGGGACCACAACGTTGCCAATAACACGGTACGAAAAAAAAGTACGGTATATTAAAATATGCATTTTTGGTAGCGCAATGAATAAAAACCGTAAACCCCTAAACACGCCGATTATGGTAATAGGCAGTTTTAGCATAGCGTTACCGCAGGCTACCGTTGGCTACCATGAGCCACGGCCAGACTGGAAGCGCGCGCTCTCTTTCTGAGCGCGCGCTTCCAACCCGGACGTGCATGAGCGAGGCAACACTCCTGGCACGCGCTGAAAATTGTGCTTCAAATGCGCAGCGCGAGCCTCCCATTGTAATGCTACACCGCGCACTAGCCTCCGGTAACAAACTTCCTATCAATAACCATAGAGCAGTTTGGTCACGTGTTGCAATACACTAAAAGCGAGGCGGTGAGCAGCGAGTTGCGAGCTTGTGACGCGAAAACACCAATACTGTGAACGCTGCTCTTCCGAAGCTTGACGGCTACCGTGCGCGGTTCATTTTCTAGAGCACTAATGCCCAGGCAAGGCGCAAACACGATATCCTCATCACCCTCAAAAATATTCCGCCACAAACAGTGACGTGGCCGGTGCGTCAAACGCGCTCGCCCACCACAAAGCTGCGCAAGTCGAGGTTTCGGACACTTTTAAATATCAGCTTGCTCATTTTGCTAACGCGCATCAACATCTCCGTCCCCTGTAATATATGATCCTGCTCTAACCACTTCGCGTTTGCAGACAAATAAATCATTTCTAGCGCACCGACCATGCGTCAGCGAGCAGGCGCACGGGAAAGTTTGGAGAATCTATCCCCGTCTTTTCCGCCATCCTGGAACTACCACCCCGCCATCTATTCACCACATTCGGTGGGAGTTGATACCACGAGGGCGCCACAGTATTTGGTGCCTCAGTAGACTTCCGGTAATATATTTATTTATTCTTCGTCAACGCAGAGCTGTCGGGTAAGAAGAGTTTCCTTCAGAAAAGTTTTTGTAGTAGGTTTGTAAGAACATCAGTGCATTGTACAAAGTAATGCAAATAACAAAAGGATGAGAGACAAATGGAAAAGAAGAGGAAAACCGGAAGCGCGCAGGGGTCCGCCGATAGGGGGTGGTAGTGAGCTTGTTTGCAAACAAACATCGGTGAATAGGGCGTTGGAGTTGCGAATAGTAAAGTGTTTGCTTTTCTTTAGCTTCAATTTTCCACTGCGCACCCACATATCGGCGTGGTGTACATGAAAGCAATGTTTTTGTTTGCAGCAGTTTGGGCGCATGGACTACCTGAAAAGCGCGGTGCAAAACATTATCCGTTATTCTATCTATGACGGTGAGATCGTGGGGCTCGTCAGCTTCCACGCAGCATGCAAAGTCGAGCATCCGCTGGCCTCGCTGAACAACAACACCAGAGATGCTCTAGCGGCTGCCGTCAGGGAACTGAAGTATGGCGCAGGAACGTCCATCGGTTGCGGACTCCAGCTGGCCGTTAAGGTGAGAGCATTTCTTGATCGATTATCTTGCAGAAAGTATTCGCCGGCGGTCATAGCCACGACCGCGATGGCTAACAGCGAGCTTCCACAGTTCTGTTGCAAAGTGCATTGCACACCATCGAGATTGCCGCTCTTAGGGCCGGTTGCACCAACGCCGCTTACCTTAACCCAAAGCGGCGCTTTTCTAAGCCGGCTTAGCGCCCTAAACCGAGCTTAGGTAAGCACGGGTTTAAATTCCGGTTGCACCAACGTTAAGCCGGCTCTACAGACGCGCCCCTAGCTAAACGCTGGATTTGCGTAGGGAATCTAGGGACAAACAGAGCAAACTAGGGAACGCTAAGAGCGACGAATACGATTGGCGGAGAGGAATCACGTGATGTAAACAAAAAAAAAAAAAGAAAAACTGCCGTAGTAGTCGTCGTCGGCGTCTGCTTTTCGCTGTATTTCTTCGGTGAGTAACAAATTAAAGGCCTCCAAATTCAATCATTTTTTCGTTTAACTTTTAATAACAGAAGTCAAAGCTTCAAATAAACACGAATGCTCTTTACATCTTTGATTATGTGTTTAATATCGGTTGATAACAGGATATTTTGACAGTGGTAGTAGTTTCCGTGCTCACATTTTGAGGTGAAGGAGCCATCGGGGGCCCCAAATCTCACCGAACGCGAGGACACTCTACTCGCTACATCGCTGAAGACAAAACATCATGGATATAAGTAGGCAGGTAAGATGACTACTAAAACAAAGTCAAGCCTGAGACCGATGAAGTTCAAAACAGTGACGAACTCGCCACGGCAGCTGCGAAAATGCCCGGAAATCTTCGAATAGAAGTCGTCGAGAGGTCAGGTCAAGAGTCCTTGCATCGACGGTACTCGTTGCTATCAGCAAGGTGACAGAACTGCAATGTACCGTCGTTGAACATCCGCTGCAGCCTCAAACGGACTTCAGTTTCACACTGTCGAGTTCAGAAAAAAAAACAAAAAAACTCCCACTAGTACATCACATCGTGCCGATAAGAACGGTCGTCTCTTCGCATCACCTGCCCCAGCCTGCCCCGATACAGCAATGAACGAATCTAAGATAGTAGTCGTTACGATTTGTCGTCACCACGAATGAAAGGTATAAAGCACAATATTCCTAAAAAATCGCGATCACCAAAAAAGTTACGGAGGACACAACAAGGCGCAACTTTCAACTGAATTTTATTGAAAACGTGTTCCGGTATATAGTCTCAACCATCGTCACAATGACAACAAACGACAAAAGTAAAGGGAAAACACCATCACAGAGCACAACTCGGAAACAACAGTATCTCGTTCTCGGGAAACGAATGAAAGATATGAAGCAAAGTATATAAAAAAAAAAATGCGATCACCAAAAAAGTTAAAGTTATGGAACGATACAGTTTTCTGAAGCCAAGATTCTACTCGCGAGATAAGGAGAATTCACTGAAGATCGTCTCAAAACTCAGAAAACGAAAGAAATTGAATTTTCGCTGTTTTACTACTTAAAAGCGCCGCAATCTAATGCAAACGGCAGAGGTGTCGACAATCAGCTGATCGCCGAGATCATGTCTGCCACTATTCAACGCACTGATCAGATTGAAGGATACGCGCTGCAAGTGTAAATAAACAAGGTGGTAAATAACAATACGTTACAGCTATGCAAAAATAAGTAAGTACATACGAATAAGCTCGTTGACAGAAGAACCAACGGGAATACAGACGTGAGCCCCACAGCTCCGTACGTTTCTCGGTTAGGGCTAGCACGCCCTGAAAGTGGAGAGCCAACTTGAAAACAGGGGTCGATAAACACTTCACACGACAATATTTTGCATCCTTGTCACAATCGAAAGTCATTTTGTCGAGACTTTCACGCTGATGTAGCCTAAAACACTTTGCACAACCAATTTCGTCCACCGCGTCGACCGTGACAAACCAGCCGCCATGTTTTTAATCCAGGATTAAGAAACAACAAGAAGCAAAGCGCCCAATGTTGGGCGCTTAAGTTAAGCGTAGTTTAGTGCTAGTTTTAGCGATAAGCGAGTTTGGTGCAACCGAACGAAACCGAAACTTAGCTTAAGTTCCCGGCTAAGCTCCGCTTTGCGCTAAGCGACGTTGGTGCAACCGGCCCTTAGAAGCCTATAAATGTGCGCTGGTTTAAGCGTGTGCAGTGAGCAGTGCATTTAAATATGGCGTCCAGTGGGTACACATCGTGTAGAAGTGGGAACATACAAACAGGCTGACCCTGCGGTTAAGCTGATCGGCTGACAGAGTTTGCATCGGATGAAACAAGCAAAAGCAGGAAACAGTACAAGAAATCGGTAAAACACGAACTATGTTTTCCACCGGGTAAATTTCAGAAATACACTTTCAGAGGCTCTTATGCATGTGTACGGCCTCGTGAAACGCACGTTATTCGTTTAATTTCGAAGCACGAAATGCTTCTTAACGCAAATTCCCAATCCCAAACTTCTGTCCATTCGTGCATTGTGCGCTAAATTTAGCGGCGACATTGACTTCGTGTGACCTATATACCGATTCAATTTTTTCGCTGAATTTAGCGGGAAAATTGGTGTCAAGATAGCCTGACGTCGCGTGGCCTACTATATCAATCTAGTTTCCCGCTAGATTTAGCGGGAACATTGATGTCACGTCACCTTTGTACCGAGGCGGTATCACTGCCAATTTTAGCGGGGAAATTCATAAAATCGCAGGTTCATCAAAACCCGAAACGAGTATTCCATGCCTTCTAAACAAATCTAAACAATTGCTCCTCAAATACTGGATTTCATGCCTTATAGGACTTTGGAAATAATGGTCGCTGTTAATTTTATTAGGCTTAGCAAATGAGAAGTTTAAGCGGTATCGCGAATGATCCTACAGTGAACGGTGGCACTTGTTTTGGCCGCCATTGTCATTGACAGTTTACGAAACGCAGGGCGTAACCGCGCATCCCGAAGATTTTATCACAGCTCCATACCCAGTGATATCACGGCAACAGCCGAGAGGAAGAAGGCCCTTAAGGTTGAGGTTTGTCCGGCGGGCATCTTACACCGCTGTTACGCTTAAGTGTGGCTAATGGTCACTGCCAACTATACTCCAGGTAGACGGGCACGTACCCTCAACTGCTGCTAAATGTGAGTGAGTTCAGACTTGATAAAACCCGTTTGCTCTACTAAAGTCTAACTCCTGGTTAGCTCAGTTGGTGGAGTGCTCCACTAGAAATGAAGAAATCCCTGGTTCGATACCAGGACCAGGTGGATATTTCGGTCGCGCTCCGGTGACCTAGCTGTCTTTGGATATTTGTGTTTGTCCTTTGTCCCCCTTGGTCCCCATCTCCAGGGATTATTATTGTCATTCTTGTCCAGCTTGCTTGCATCCTTGCATTAATCGTATATTCATCATAGATAGACATCTTGCATGCAAATTTTCAGCACACAATTGATGCTTTGCATTCAAAACAAATCGCATACAAATACGACGAACACACCTGACGCGTTTACTCTAATCACTCTAACAGCGAAATCCTTTGACTGCCCATGAGTCTTTTATACTGACCACCTTAGTGCGCAAACTTGTCGTGTATCTACACGTCAGAGAATAATGTTGCAAATACAGTGCTCTTTTCGTCCCAAGATCCAGCTTCAAGAACGTTTTCAAATGAATCAAGGCTTCTATCTCCTAGTAGAAAACAAAGGTAAACACGAAAACAATTTGCGACAGTCGATAAAACAACCTCCCACATCGGTTCACAGCATCTATGTCTTCGCTTCCCCGCATAGCAGCCGCGAACCAGCTTTCTCCTCGCTTACGGTAATCGAGAATTCAAAGGACTCTGGTCGCCGTCCGCAAGAGATTGCTTTCTTGTCGTGACCCACGGCGAACGAAGGCTGTCTTTGATATTTCAGTACGATGCCAGCTGCAATCCATCCGCGCGTTGCGCGACAAAAATGCATGCAAAGTTAATACCGCATGCTGCTCGCACCTTATGTGTAGTTCACTGACGAATGCTCGAGTTTCTGGACAAGATATAAGCAAATCTTTAAAAAAAAACTCGTAGAATGCCAAAACTTTTTTTTTCATTAGTCCTAAAACTACAGCGTGGGCAAAATGGATTGAACGCGCTTTAAACTGACCGCATAAATCGGTTTATTAACTTATCGCACTGGGATTCACTACAGAGGTGCTTGGAGCTGGCACATTCACTAACTGAGAGTATGAATACATAACACCTTTGGAGTAAAAAAAAAATGATGCGCCATTTCACCCTTTGAAGGAGGAAGACCAGCGAAGCTGTTTAGAACACGACACAGACGCGGCACAGAATTTTGAACAAGGGTATAGAACACATTTATTGTCTTGATCGGTGATCGTCGTGACGAAGGGTACGCACACACATGTCGAGGACGATCGCCGCCCCGAGGAGCCGGAGGAAACTAGATGGATGGATGGATGAATCCGGCTGAGCCCTTTGGATCGGGCGGTAGCTTACACCACCTAGCCTGACTAGATAAGCGTGACGGAACCGCCGCCTGGCGGAAGGAAAGGAAACTAGTCACGCAAGCGGGTTTGGAACGACGACAAAAAGGGGGCGGTGCGCTTCCCTCCTCCTCCTCCTCCTCTCCTACTGCCGCTGACTTTTTTAATGGGTGATGTGACACGAAGTCGTGATGTCATTTGCCCGCTAACTTTAGTGGGGAAACTAAATTGGTGTCGAGGTCACGTGACGCCAATTTCCCCGCTAAATTTAGCAGAAATATTTTTACACTAAGTTTAGAGTGGAAACTGACTTTAGGTGACCCGAAGTCGTGACGTCATTTCTGTTGTCGCACACAAAAAATCCACAGTACCCTAACCATCAACAACTTCGCCGCAAAAAAGAAAATAATCTGATTTTGTTTATGGAAAAGTTATCGCCAATTCTTGTATCTCAAAATCGTCAGAAAATCATTGTGGGCTATTCTGGCGTTTACTACGATTGAAAAAATTGTAAAGGGGAAAGAAAATAGAATTAGCTTACCTATTCTTCACTTCATTCCGCCAAATTAAACGCCAGAGAAATGTAATACTTTCTTTTAGCGTACGTGCTAGGTATTGGGAAAACATAGATTTTAATTTTTCTTGATTTACTCTGGTGAGCCAATCTTTCCACAATTTTAGCGAAAGCTTCCACCACCTTCAGGCACTTCGTAGTGTATCCCGGCGCAATAAGTTAAGAAGCCAATTTTAGTGGTAGGGTTGAAGTGCGTTCAATCCATTTTGCCCACGTTGTATAGATACACTATTTACGTCGCCCATCAACGGTCGTATCAGTGCACTGCCGTGAACAAAGACAGCTCAGTCACAATCATTCAACCACCGAGCGCAAACAGACGGCGAAGAGGACGTTCTCAGTGTCAAGTAGAAGCGAAGCAGCGAAGCTTCTTGGACGGCGAAACCCATGCCGCTGAACCGGCCGAATCATCCCGTCGAGCGGCGGATCCGGTGACGAGTGGCCCGCTCATTACCGGCTCGTTGGAGCTATCCTCGGAGCAGTCCACGTCCACGCACAGAGTCCAGCGCATGAACAATAACTATGCACGCCAGCACGGGAACACAAGAACAGCACACGACACACGGCAAAGCGGCAGATTCAGATCGCAGAAATGAGCGTCTCGCGAACTCCGACTGGACCCAACGTGCTTGTCGTACAATGTTGCCAACCGGTTCTTGTGAAAGAGAAACATATTTTAAAGGGGCGGTGCAACGATATTCAATTGGAATGCTTTTCACTTTGCACGAGTTTACTGGCACCAGTGGGACTCAAGGATACTCGCACGCAACGCCACTGGCCAAGAAACTCCTTTGTTGCGGTGTAATTTTGAGAACAGAAGTGATCATTTTCATTCAATCTCTCCCCTGCAAAATTTGATGACGTAACGTGGGGATCGCGGTACACCCCGATGACGATATTTGAATGCGGTTCATAGACTGGACCCGAGCATTGCGTGTGCACCCGATTTGGGCTCGTGATAATTGATAGCTCGAGAAGCATTCGGATAGTGGCCCGTATTCAATCGCTGCAACGGCGACAATAGCCGAGCCATAACAATGTCCGGAACTCAGCGCGTCTCCTGTGCTTTGCCAAACCCAGCGTGTGGCTATGGTCTACATTGGCAGCATATCATCGGCTCCACATCACGTGGCCGCTTGTTGTGGCTGCGAGTTGAGGGGGTAAACGCTGTTTCTTTTTTTGTTTTTTTTTCTGGGACTTCTATTGCGTGGGGTGAAAAACGAAACCTTGTTTTAAAGGTCATTAACGTCAGGGATCTGCTCTAAGCGGTATTTGAGCAAAGTACAAAAATTGTTGCATCGCCCCTTTAAAGAAAACACGAATAAGAGAAAAAAGAAAGATGTTTACAACTCCCTGTAATACCGAATTAGAGCGCAGCTCTTGAGGAGGAGGGGAGGAGTGTACGGACGGGATGATATGCCCCTCCTCGTTATCCGTACCCTCTCCTCCTTTCTCCTCATCTACTCCTCCTGTGCTCCTCGCCGCCCCCTCTTCTTCCTTCTCCTCCCACTCCTCCTTTCTCCTCCTCCCTCTTTATCCCCCTCCCCTCCTCCCTCGTCTTCCTCCTCCCTCCCGCGCGGTGCATTATGGGAAAGGTCCCATAATGCAACGTGCGCGTCACCGCGGTACAGTATGGAACGTTTCTCATAATGCACCGCGCGGTGCCGAAACGTCATCATGCCGAAACGTCCGCGCGGTGCATTTTGGGAAACGTCCCATTATGCACCGCGGTGACGTTGCGGCACGTTGATGAAACGTCTCCCTTGTGACGTCAACGGTGACCCTCGTGACATCACGAGTGACGTCACGACGGGTCCGAGCGTTGCATTATGGAACGTTTCCCATCATGCACCGCGCGGTTACGCCGACGCCGACGCCGCTCAAGCCGGAAACGGGGGCCTAAGATCTGCTCTCTAAAAACCTTTCTTCTATTTGGAAACGTTTTTAGCGCGTGCTACGTGGTTATTTTCATCCCAGTTAATACCGAAACGAAAATATAAACGCTTCCAATGAATGCAAACGGGAAGAATGTCAGGACAGCGGTTAAAAGTGCATCAGTGATGGCCGCGCTCGCAGCAGCGCTGGCTTCCACCAGGTGCTGTAACAGACGTTGCGATCGTTATAAAGTCAGCTTCAACCCTTAAACATGCCCCCGGGGGGATCGGTGGCCGGGTGGGCTGACGCGTCTCAGATCGTAGCGTGGAGCGAAAGCTTGCGCTGCAGAAGCTCCTGTGTTCGATTATTGCAATTACTAGAGCTCTAAGAATCGCGAAAGTTGGTGTGTTATACTAAGTGGCTATAAGCATCCAATTTCAAGAATAATCTATCGGTTTAATCTGTATGTCCTAGACCCTTGAACACCGACCAATAGGGAGTTTTCGTAGACCGCGCTACCCCCTCCGCTAAGCGTTCCGCAACGAAGAAGTCGCTACTGTGCCTGAGCGCCGATAGGCTTGACTGTGGAGTTCCCGCTATCGTAGCGGATTGCGGAGGGCCTTGCGGGACGGCAAAAACGATCTACGAAAACTCCCTAATATCTTCTTAACAGGAGCTCGAATTCAACAACACGAGTTCCGTCGGAAGCACGATTATTCTGGTCACCGACGGCGAAGAGAACCGCGATCCCAGTATTGACGACGTCCTGCCCGGCCTCACAAGAAAATCGATCAAAGTGCACACGTACGCTCTCGGACCTGAAGCCTCCACGAAGCTGGAGCAGATCGCGGACGAAACGGATGGCACGGCCTACTACTTCGGCGACTTCCAGAACAACACGATCGCTGCCTTGGGCTCGGCCTTTCTGGTGTCGGTGACGTCGCACCTGGACACTATAAACCATCCGATCATTGTAAGTCGCCATCCTCTGTTTCGTCTCCTGGATTCAGTGATAGCCTTGTCGTGCCTTTTATCGTTTTTTTTTTTATTACAACGATATATTTAAGGTCGGTTCACACACTTGCGTTTGCTTACGACCAAGTTGTTGTGATCTCTGGCGACGAGCATTCACACCGGCAAGTGGTGCCATCTGTGAGGCGGCCCTCAAATTGCATTTTAGTAGAGCGAAGGTGTTTGGGAGATCAAATTTGCGTACTCTATGAAACATGTTCGCTTATGACATTGTTTTTAAGCCAATAAAGAAAGAATTAAAGCGAAGAAATGTACATATAAGGAAATCTCAAACGTTCCACGGTTACCCAATGGATTGTCTTGTTGGTGGCGAAAAAAGCCCTTTTTATTCGACAAGCGTTCCTTCTATACAGTCGCGTGTCAACCAAACAAAGAATACAAACATAGGCGCGGTCGCGTTATCAGAGTGATAGCGGCGCGGCCGCATCATGTCACTACATCTTTCCTTTTCACAACAACGTACGTTCTTACAGTCAGTTAGCTTACGCAAAAAAATAAATCATTAATTCCGAGCCTTTTCGGAGTTTTGATTAGGCGACCGAAGCGAGACTGCCGTCGTTGCGGAGGCGGCGTCGCGTTGGCTGGTACCGGCCTCTGGCGTTGGGGACTCTGGACAGGCGTCACCCCCGACTCTCCAGAGTCGTCTGGTATGTTCGAGAACTTGATTTTCTGATGGAGCCGACGGAAGACTTCTCTCTTGACCATCCCTGATGGCTTGTCAGGAACCCGGGGCTCTAAGACGTTCTGGCCGGCTGTTTCCCCTGGTACCGCAACCAGTTGGCGTCGGTTTCTGCGCAGAAGGTTGTCGTCCTTCTCAACCCAGTAGGACCTTGGGGTCGAGGATGCCTGGACCACCCTCGCCTCGGTGCTTGTTTCCGGAAGCCATACCTGCTGACCTGCATAAAGGCTAGGCAGATACCTCGCTGAATGGCGCTTATCGAAGTCCGCTTTTTGTTTTCTCGGATTTCTTTCATCACGCAGTCTCCAGTCTGCATGGTCCTCAGTTCTAGGCCCGAGCAAACTTGAGTGACAAGGAACTCTACTGCGTAGACATCTCTTCATCGACAACTGGGCAGAACTGTAACCGGACGGGCCCGGTGTGTTTCGATAGTTCAGTAGGGCAAGATAAGGATCGTCGGTTTTCGTTAGTAAGGTCTTCAGTGTCCTTACCGCGCGCTCAGCTTCTCCGTTGGACTGAGGGTATCAAGGACTGCTCGTTACGTGGCGGAAGCCGTACGCTTTCGAGAACCCTTCGAAGGCGGAAGAGGAGAACTGCGGCCCGTTGTCGGACCAGACGATCCCTGGTATTCCGTGCCTTGCGAAGAAGCTTTTGAGGCGCTCGATGACTCGAGCTGATGTTGTGTCTTTATCCAGCAGAGCGAGCTCGGGGTATCTGGAATAGTAGTCAACAACGAAAAGGTTTTGAGAGCCTTTGAGTTCAAATAAGTCAACGCCCACTTCCTGCCATGGAAGTTCGGGTGTGGCCGTCGGAAGCATGGGCTCGTGAAATTGCACTGTTACTTCGGCGCACTTTGAGCACTTCGCGACAACTTCCCCCAAAACGGCGCTAACGCCTGGCCACCAGATAGACTCCCTTGCTTTCACGCGCCAACGGACGATTCCCTGATGTCCCTCGTGAACGCGCCCTAGCATCTTTTTTCGGAGGCTTCTTGGGGTGATCAGTCTAACGCCGTTCAGTAAGAGTCCATCGCAGACCGTTATGTCGCCCCTCTCTGGCCAATAAGGCTTGAGAAGAAAAGGGAACTTATCTTTGGGCGGACACGTCGCCTGGCATACGTTGAACAGGGCCGCGAACTCCGGATCCGCCTTCTGCTCCAGCCGCAGCTTTTCCAGCAGAGACCCGGTCGCTTAGAGTGCTTGCAAAGAACCCACGAAGAACGACGAAACTTCGGCGTCTCTCAGGGTGGAGTCCCGGTGGCCCGCATCCGTGAGCCTTGACTTGGATAAGGTGTACGCCGTAGCGATACTTTTCCCTAGAACAGGCGTCATGTTAAAGGAATACCGCATAAGTCGCAATCGAAAGCGTTGAATTATGGGTGGCAATGAGCCTATCTGATCGCGGCCCAGGAGAGGAAGCAATGGCTTGTGATCGGTCTCGAAAAGAAATGTTAGTCCTCTCAGGTACTCGTCGAAGCGCTCCGCTGCCCATGTTAGTGGGAGAGCTTCGTTTTCTATTTGCGAGTACATCACCTCGGGTTTCGTCAATGCCCATGACGCGTAGGCTACTGCCTTGCGCCCTCCCGAGGGTTGGTCTTGAATGATGACTGCACCGATTCCGTACAAGAAGTGCCTGCCGATACGATGGTCGGGTATTCCGGGTTGTACCTTGCCAAGCAGGTATCCGAGCTGAGGGCTTCTTCGAGCTTCTTGAATGCTTCTTCCTGGGGCTTGTCCCAGATGACCTCTCTGTTCTTCTGTAGAAGTTGACGTAGAGGTTCCAACGTCGCGGAGGCTTCTGGGAGGAACCTTGCTACGTGGTTGATCATCCCCAGGAATCCTCTGACTTCCGACGTAGTCTTCGGCTGGGGCAGGTTCTTGATGGCTCGCACCTCCTCTGGGTCCGTGTACATTCCTTTTTCATCTAAGACCATGCCCAAGAACCGAATCCTTGAGGCTGCAAACTTGCACTTATCCCGGTTCAGCGTAACTCCGGCTGCCTGGAGCCTCAACTTCAATTTGTCCTCTCCATCAATACTCCTTCACCTGGTGCGTTCATTAAATAAACGGATGAGTAAGTGGATGGGTGGACGCAGACATGGAGGCTGTTCCCATTGAATCGAGCGGTGACTTGCGCCAAGTAGTCCCTTTTTTTTCGAAAGTGCGCACTTTCAGTAACTACCGCGTAAAGTGTTCGAGGTTCTAGACTACATTAGGAAAATGGTGGAAGGATAATCTAGAAAATTCCTTTCACCTCTTTTTAAGAACATTTTTCTAATATATTCATATACACAAACTTAATTTGAGCATAAACGTAGCTTAATCTGCTCTGTGGAGGTCAAGATAAATGCCGGGGTTAGGTTAAAACTTTACCCTCATTCAGGTTTAATAACTTTTCAAGTGTGCGTAGGGACAATTGTACAGGTCTTGTTCGACGAAATAACGCTTCAGTTTCTTTTATACCCAGAGACCTTCCCGTTTTAACCGAAAAACACCGATAAACGACCCTTGGTGTAAAAAATATCAAATAGGTTAAAACCTAGAAACACCGATTTATGAAACGTTTTACATCAGCTATGGCTGTTGTTTTTGTTTTTTTTCTAAACCCTTTCCTCTTTGACCTAATCTTTGAGTTCTTCATGATTTGCTTTTCACTGATAGCCTAATTATTGCTTTTCCGTCCGTCCGAAACAAATCACCGACATGCACATATATTTGAAAAACAAATAAACACCAACAACAAATCCCATTTTTTCAAAAGTATGAATCGGAAAGTCTACGGTTTATTAATTAATTTCATTTCATTTCATTTATTATTCCCTCAGGGCCCGAAGGCATTAAAGAGGGGAGCGGGCGGTTAAGATAAGGGTAACATAATTCAGTGACGCAAAACAAAAAAACGCGCTACACATCTGTTAAAAAGTTGGTAATAACATTTTTAAAATCAACAGTGTTAGTTATTGAGACTATATGTGGGGGGTGGTAGGGCGATTCCAATCGATGGAAGTCTGGGATAGAAAAGAGGAATTAAAAGTGGAGGTGCTGCAATGGGGAATCCCTACCTTCACGTCATGCTCTACAGTGATGATATGTAAGATGATTCTAAAAACAACGCTTGACGGAGGGCGGGGTGAACGGAAGCTCTACAGCACAGCTCCAATTACGATCCGACCTTTTCTTTTTTCCAGTTGCTGGACAAGACGGCGTCTTTTAGGACCGCCGAGGAATTCCCGTTCACGGTCCCGCAAGAGCTCGGCGCTAACACAAAGATATCCATTACATCGTTATCCGTTCAAAAGTTCGACTTTTATGTGAAGGACGCCAACGGCCAGAACTGCACTGACTGCAACAAGGAGATCGGAGACCAGCTCGAGATAATCCACATCCCGGAGACTGAAGCGGTATACGGTTCGCCCTTATATCGAGTCTCCTTTGCCGATATTACTATTTACACAGCTTGAAACTGCAGCAGTGCTACTGCCATACTCGGTTTAACATTAAGACCGTCTAAAGTCCCTCGACACTCCTTTTTTACAAGTAAGGACAACCAATACGAATGACGAAGCGCATTCCGCTAGACCAAAATTGCGTAATTCAGTTCAGTCTTCTGGTGTGCGCCGCCCATTCGCTTCCTACAACCTGCACTGTCACGCCGTTGGCGCTTCAAAGAATGTAGGTACTAAGGTTGTGCGATTAGTGGTTCGAATCGAATAGCGCTGCGTCATTCATAGCTTTGACAATGGAAGGGAAAGCCAAGAAGGCCGGTTGTTTCAACAGTGCACAAGGTAGAGATGACGCTGCGCTGTTCGATTCCAACTACTATTCGCACGTCCCTCGTAGCTAACTTTTCCACAAGGGCGCCGCAATCTTGAACGTCGTCATTTGTGGAATATGTGTTAAAACATCGTTCCGATATCTCCACGCCGCTTGAAGGTGTTCACGAAAAATGCGTAATTGTCACACATTCCTCCTCGCCCATATTTTCTCGCATATTCCAGGTTGAAATGTCTTCATGCTTTTTTTTTTTTTGTCCAAAATGACAGATGTGTGAACCACGTGACTGATAACGAAAGGAAACGAAAAACGTCGAAGCTACAATCAGGCAGACATAATCAAGCATCGCCAAAATTACGTTGTCATGGCGCTCGTCGTTACCGGTTAAACCAATCACGAGTAGTGATTGGTTGGCTCCGTGAGCTTGTAGCTTTGACTGAGGTCGGACTTAATGCGAAACGGAGTATTTTCTTTTTTTACAGAAAGGTGCTAATCTCCTTATAAGAAAAAACAAAAAGATTCAACAGAAGCGAAACGCTTATATTGCGTCATCCCGTTCCAGACAACCCTCTGGACACTGGTTTTGATACCACAGGCGGGTACCGTCTCCAACGTCACTGTTACAGTGCAGTCGACGCAGCGAGATCCCAGCGTCCATCCAATCAGAGCCCAGAGCTTCGTTAAGGAAGACAAAAGTAAAAACCAGGTCACAATCTACAGCAGGGTTTCCAAAGGAGACCGCGGTGTCCTGAGGGCGGTCGTCATCGCCACCGTTACCCTGCCAGGATTGAGCGGGACGACCTTCCTCCACCTCAAGGACAACGGGCTTGGTACGCCTCAACCACGGTGTAACTCCTTAACCTTGTCGAAACTTGGAAATAGGCCTTTTTTAAAAAAAAAAATTCCAGAAGGCCACGCGTGAACTCCAGTACGCGGCTTGTTGCCGGCCCCACGTGACACTGGAGAGAGCGAAAAGGTAGCGCAGTCGCTGGCCTGCGTTTGCCCGCTCGCCTTCCGCTTTATGGTCGCCACTGTTGTCTGCTGCAGCCGTTTGTACTATCGCGGACAATATGAGCTGAAACAGCGCTCCGCTCTATGCACGGTACTTCTTGCGCCGCCTATCGTATCGCTCCGCTAACACGCCGCACCCTGAGGCCGAGATAAGTTCTCATTTCGCTCCCTGCGCCGCTCCGCTCTTCCGGCCATCTGCTAGCGAAAAAATTGGCCGACGGAACCACCATCACAATGCCTGTTCCGTGCAGCCCAATGTTCACGTTTTCAGCTAACTTGCATTTCAGTGCATTTCAAGAAAGCGCCGAAGTAGAAAATGAGTTGTCGCGCTCGTATCTCCTTGAGGAGCGCTGCCTGACGGAGCTGCCTTGGTTCCCAAAAGGAGCCGATTTGAGTATCATTGAACACGTTTGGAGGCGCATCAAGGTGGCCTTGTCACTGCGTCCCCTCTACCACGCTGCTGCAGACGAATTGTGGGAAGCGGTTAGACGTGAATGAGTGGGAGAGGCTTCGGGCCGAGCCAGACTTCGTGGCCGCGCGCTATGATTCTTCTGATGACGTCAGTGACGATGACGATGGCGATGCGGATGCCATTGACTTCATCGGAATCCGCATCGTCATCGTCATCATCACTGATGACGTCATCGTCACGTGACCCCCCAGGTCACGTGACCCCCCTAGGTCCTCCCGAAGGAACCGAGGTCCTCCCGAGGTCCTCCCGAGGTCCTCCCGAACGAACCCGAGGTCCTTCCGAAGTCCTCCCGAAGGAACCCGAGGTCCTTCCGAGGTCCTCCCGAAGAAACCCGAGGTGCTTCCGAGGTCCTCCCGAAGGAACCCGAGGTCCTGGGGGGGGTCACGTGACGATGACGTCATCAGTGATGATGACGATGACGATGCGGATGCCGATGAAGTCATTGGCATCCGCATCGCCATCGTCATCGTCACTCATGAAGTCATCAGTGACATCACTGATGACGTCATCGGCATCCGCATCGTCATCGTCATCATCACTGATGACGTCATCGTCACGTGACCCCCCCTAGGTCCTCCCGAAGGAACCCGAGGTCCTCCCGAGGCCCTCCCGAAGGAGCCCGAGGTCCTCCCGAGGCCCTCCCGAAGGAACCCGAGGTCCTTCCGAGGTCCTCCCGATGACGATGACGATGCCGATGATGTCATCAGTGACGTCACTGATGACGTCATCAGTCATGATGACAATGGCGATGCGGATGCCAATGACGTAATCGGCATCCGCATCGTCATCATCACTGATGACGTCATCGTCACGTGACCGCCAGGTCACGTGATCTCCCGGGTCACGTAACCCCCGAGGTCACGTGACCCCCCCCTTCCGAGGTCAACTGATACCCCCAGTACCCTTCCCTCCTCCTCCTCAAGAGCTGCGCTCAAATTCGGCGTTACAGGGAGTTGTAAACGGCTTTCATTTTTTGAACTTTTTTATTCCAATTAAGGTTACAAAACCTTCGCAGTAACCTGCATGGCTAGCGTTGTTTTTAAACAGCTGTGCTCAACGAAAAAGAAAAAGAAGGAAACACATTGGAGCCGGCCTAAATCCGGTAAAAAGATTTTGGTTTACATTTTACGATGTCCTATTTTGTAGATGCACTTAATCAAATAAAAACAACCAGCAACGTAATTTGATGGGACTTCGCGAAACGACAATCGCAGCTGCAATTTAAGATAGCGCAACATTTTTTCTTCACCAGTCAGCGTTTTTTCTACTTGATTCTACGCGATAGATTGAAGTAAATCAGTTGCAAAAAAAATGAAAGCCGTTTACAACTCCCTGTAACGCCGAATTAGAGCGCAGCTCTTGAGGAGGAGGAGGAAAGGGTACTGAGGTCACGTATTCTCGGGGTGGGGGGGGGGGGGGGGGGGGGTCAAATGACTTCACGGTTACGCCGATGGCGACGGCGACGCCGACGCCCCTCAACGGGCGCCTAAGAGCTGCGCTCTAAAAAGGAACGACAACCGTCATCTTCTGTCCCCCTGCCGCCCTACCACGCACACGCCCGCTGTCGCACACGCCGTCTCTTTAGCAGACGGCCGGAAGAGCGCAACGCCGCAGCGAGCGCAAGGGATAATTTATCTCGGCCTCAAGGTGCGCTTTATGTGCGGAGCAAGGCGGTAAGCGGCGTACGTAGTACCGTGCGCCGGCCGGAGCGCTGTTTCAGCTCAAATTGTCCGCGATACTACCTTGAGTTCCCGGCATTTCTTTCGGTGCCGTGGACGGCGCTGCACGCTTTGCAAAAGGCCTCTTCGTGGGATTAACTTTGAATAATTCCTCGATGGTTTCAAAACGGCCGCCGAGGATTTGCCATACGATGCTTAGCTCAAGAGGCAATGCCTTTGAATGAAACTTACTCCGCTATTCTAAGAGGACACGTCTTTTATGAAAATATGTCAGGCTGAATCGATATGTAACTAAATTGCTCGTTCAAGTAGACATCCTTTCCTTGTAACCTCGCTGAAATGGTAAGTTTATCAAAACACAATACATACCTTGCACTTGTCATCATCCCATCAGCTCTCCGGCTACCAGCAGAGAAGAGGGGAAGGATGGAACTTCCCATTCATTTGGGTTATCTTTTAATGCCAAATCATTAACTGTCTCACGGAGCGAACCGGCGTCATCAGCTTTAGAAGCCGCGCCAAACGGCGCCTAAATTCCCCTGTCCGATGGACCGAAGCCAGTAGTCTGTAAAAGCGAATTGGTAGACTCCCATTGGCAGGCGTCCGGCATAGTTCTAAGGAACGCCACCCCACTGTCTTGGCGCAGAGGCCCTGCCGCCGGTAAGAGGCAAAGGGTGGCCGGGCTCTGCGGAGCGGCCGGCCGCGGAGCCAGCCCGGGCAACATCCGGAGAGGTCTCCCGGCCGGGCTCAGCGCGATGCGCAGCTTGGAGGAATACGCTACGTTTACGAATGTTTTCGCATTCCGACACGTTAGCAGTCTTCTTGTGTCCCAGACTTGCCCAGACGTCACTATTCTCCCTCTAGCGAATAGTAGAATATTAAGCCGTCACTCAAAATGCGTACATAAGCAACTTTCCCCTCTCTCTCTCTTCCGTGGTGGTGCGAAATGGATGATATGACCGTCAGTGCAAGGCATCTATAGGCCAAGTCCCGTAAGTACGGCCTCTGGGCGCCGCCATATTGCTGCTGGTATGGGTAGATCGTCTGATAGTCAAGCATTGTTGAGGCGTACCCACTGCCTCTGCAATGCTTGACTATCAGACGATCTACCTATACCAGCATCAAAATGGCGGCACCCTGAGGCCGTACTTGCAAACGTCTATAGATCGACACGCTGTTTCCAAACAAGTCAGCGCTTTCCCACACCAGGTGGGGCCACTGCGATTGCGCAGAGACCAGATTCACTTCGAGTGAAGTGTCTCCACATGCGCCGTTCGACAGCAACGCCACCGCAGCGGCATGACGTCAGGGCCTCACCTTGGTGTATATAATGTGTAATTCTGCGCCTACCGCACCCGAAAAGTGTGAGCTGAGCATCGAAGCGGGGCTGATCGCGAATGAATGGGGCGTTTCTTTTTTTTTTTCCTGTTTCACTCTCTCTTTCTGTGGCAGGAGCTGACGAGACGAGAAACGACGGCGAGTACTCGGCTTACTTTTCGCACCTCGTCGGCCAAGGACGGTACAGCGTCAGGACCGACGTCACGACCAAGGAGGACACGCTGCTGACCCCCCCGAGATCTACAGCCATGCCTGGCAGACTTCGCGCCGGCCTGCTTGAGCCCGGTACGTTACTAGTGTCGATGACGATGTCTTGTGCGTCTGCGTGTGGGGAACATTTGTAAGCGAACGGCGATCCAATCCGTACACCGCCTCCCGTTTCTGACGTCACTCCAGGCGGCAGAGTCAACGCCACCTAGGATAAGTAACCAAAGCGTGAGCGCTAGAATTTGGACGTCATCGCAGTGAGATAGAGTGCGGACACAGAGTCACCGGTAGTTCGTCAGTGTTCAGCTGGGTCTTTTGTTCGATCAACGTGCTGAAGGACGCTCAGCGTCCGGCTCCGGTCCGATTGCTGAATTGGCGCCATTCCAGCGTGGTGACGTCCGGTAGAAGAAGAGGGTGTTCGCAGGCCTCGATTATTCTAGGTGGTGTTAGCAGTGCTGACTGTGAAACTGAATATGCCTTAATATACCGCCCTGAGCCATATAGTCACTGAAAAAACGCATGACCTTTCTTATGCTTCAGCCATATTGGTGCTTACAATCATTGTTGCCATTTACCTGAATTTCTATCTGGAAGCGATAGGAACGCTTTTTCTTCCACTAAAAGTGTTATAAAAAACTCGAGACCAAATAATTGGGAACGACTTTTACAATTAAAGTTAATGGATGAATTGCTGTGTAGCACCCTGGGAGCCACATCACCCAGGATTCTTTTAAACCAAGGTTAAAAGCGCTAAAAAGACGATCACGGGCTCTGTTTGTCTTTACTCTTTGGTTCAAAACAGTCATCACCGACTAGCCCAACAAGTACTTTTACACCCAGGGTTATATAGACCATTCCATTTAGCGCTCTCTGGGCGGCACCATTTTTGCGAGAGCAGCGCCCTCTCCATACATCCGGGAAATTCAGCGGGTTCGGCGGGGTAAAACGAGAAAGAGGGCACGCGCCCGACTCCGGTAGCAGACGACAAAGCGGGAGGTTGCCATTCTCCATCTTTGGGCTGTATCGGCGGGCTGTAAGGAACATCGAACTCTCGCTCGTGGCTGCCGTTGTGAAGTGGTTCGCGTTCTTAGAATAGTTAAGGCTACTCCAAAATCAGCCTAGAGCTCTCTGTTGTTCTACTTCGGTAAATGATCAACCGACATCTTTTTTCCCTTACTTAAATAGCAGTTGAGTCAGCCGGCAGTACTACCCTCAACTACTGCGTGTATTGCGGCAGGAGAGCACGTTTTTATTTATTATTTCAGAGATCCACTCATGGTCGCTAAAGGCCTACACCAGTACGAACTTTGTATAGTAAAAAAGGTACAGCCACCGGATTCACTTTTCGCCGGAGAGACCGGCCAGTCTGGCACAGTTTTTCCTATTTTTTTTTTATTTGCACGCAGATAACAGCGCAATTGGACTCTGTTAGTCTTTTTTATTTAGCATAGTAATACACGATAACTGGCATACCAAAATCTGCGCATCTGCGCTTGAAATTCCCAAAATGACGCGATTTTAAACAGAGTTTGTACGCCAGCCGGATGCTCGGTACTGCCCACTCGGCGGAGCAGACGACATTCGGGCGAGAAGGGAGGGCATTTTTTTTTTCCTTTTTTTACCCTCTCTGCTATGACCCTAATGGAACGGTCTATAGACCTTTTCTGTGTACTCTTGTCACCAGCCACCTAATAGGCGTATCCGCTATGGGCTACGAAAAAATAATCCAACGTTTCAACCTGCAAATGGTAAAAAAATTAAGGGGAGGCAAAACGACAAAGTGTGACGGTTAGGCTTATATCCTAAATGCCTTCTATTGGCATAGCAAAGGCAAAACAATGTTTTCACCCATACTGGAAGTGACGTCAATTCAAGATGGCGGCGCACTTGCAGAAAGGGTCTATATAAGGTGTTGCTAGGAACGGAAAGGGGAGAAAAAAGGAGAGGGGAGGAGAGGGCTGGGGTGAGAGAATTGCTGCGTCGCGTGAAGTCTATTTTCCCGCTAAGTTTAGCGGGGAAACAATGGTGGTGTAGGTCATGTGACGTCAGGCCACGTGCACGTGACGAGACTTCTCCCGCTAAATTTAGGTGGGAAATTAGATTTATGTCTCGCTGAAGAGACGTCAAAATTCCGCTAAATTTAATGGAAAACTGAATTGATGTTTGGGCCAGAAGACATTAATTTTCCCGAAAACGCTAGCCGGGAAACTGAGCTAAGGTAGACGTCACGTGCCGTCAATTTCCGCAAGGTGTATATGTCACTTGACCTCACGTGACGCCATTTTTCTAGCTAATTTGAGCATAAATTAAAGGGACGGATGGACGGACAAAATTTTGGGATTGGAAAGTAGCGTTAAAAGCATTTCATGAATTAAAAAAAAAAGCCTTATCGTTTGAGTTTTTCGACACGTTATCCATAGCCCAGAAAGTCGCATTTCCATATCTCATGCATCGCAAATGGCGCCCGATTTACAATAAGCACCAAAAAGGCGGCACCTAAAATAAAATCGTGAGGTGCTCTTACTAAGCGTACGAGCTGTCGGTAACTGAAAAGTAACTTAATTTAGTAAAAAAAAAAAGTTCTTCAATATTGGTCACAACTCAACAGATTGCACTACCCGCCATTAAATCTCTTAAAGAACGTGCTATTATGTTTTATATTGACTTTAGACAAACCTGAGCAACGTTTATTGAAATCAGAAGCTGCAAGTTCGTATGCGCGATAATAATCTTTATTGTTTACACTAACATTATCTTTCAAGCGGTAAGACATCTATATCAAAATTACATTTTTGTGTCTCACGAATATATATATATTTCTGCAGCAATTCAACATTTTTATTTCAAAAACATCAAACGCAAAATTGAAAAAAAAAATGAAAGCCGTTTACAAATCCCTGTAACAACGAATAGGAGCGCAGCTCTTGAGGAGGAGTAGGGAAGGGTACTGAGGGGGATCACGTCACCTGCGGGTAGTCACGTGACCTCGGGGGGGGGGGGGGGTCACGTGATCTCGGGGGGGGGGGGGGTCACCTGACCTCGGGGGGGGGGGGGGGTCACGTGATCTCGGGGGGGGGGGGGGGGGGTCACGTAAGCTCGGGGGGGGGGGGGGTCAGGTGACCTCGGGGGGGGGGGGGGTCGCGTGACCTCCCCCCCCGGTTACGCCGACGCCGCTCAGGCTGGAAACGGGCCCCTAAGAGCTGCGCTCTAAAATAAATATAAAGAAGTTCAAATTATTACAGCACGCATATCCTCGATCGAGGTTATTTATCGTCATATAGTCTTAAGTTCTCTTTTTAGCTATTTATTTTTTGTAGAAAACGAGGGACGATAAGATGTGTAAATCATCGGGTTAGTCTGAACAGTGTGAAAAGCGACCAATCGAACTTGCAGGTGAGGAGCCTGAGCAAGCGGTTCAGGAAATCTCTGCGGTAAGTTCACCCGTTCAGGACTCGCGACTATGAGAGACCCGAATGACAGTTTCCGCCCACAGATATCAGACATTAAAGCTTGGAGGCCTCAGTATCTCAAAACGCAGAACAAGTTCGGCCTTCTCTCCGAGTTTTCTACCTTGTAAAGCTCTACGCTGTGTTCCTAGGAGCATGCGCAGCAATTGTGCAACGGAAAAGTAACGAATGATTGCAGAGAATCCGCTCTGGACATTTTTCATATGTCGCCGACTATAAACAAGAAGAAAATAAAACGGCAGAAGAGTCTATCGTTTTACCTCTTTTCATTTTATCGCTTTGTATCTGGGGTGGTATTGCTAAGCAAAGCAATACAAGGCTTTGCTTTTACTGAAGGGCAACTCCGGTGGAAAACGAAACCAAAATAAATGACAGGTACATCGCTTTAATGGCAGGAAGTATGATCAGAAACGAAATATTACGTCAAAGGGAAGCCGCATACTCCACTAAAACCGATTTGAAAGATTTCATCAGCTGCTCTTTAGCGGGTGAGAAGCGGATTAGCTTTCAGTCAGGAAACACTGGGCGACGCGTACCGGAGCACCATCGTGACGCCAGGTTGCGGCCGTAGATTCATTAACTTAACAAGCTACGTCCCGGGTACCTTGAGCTGTCAGTATTGACTATGTACCACCAAACACTGGTCGCAGACACGTAAAGAAAAATCTGGCTAATAAACCAATTCTATTTCCCTTTATGCTTCTGGGCACCGAAGTTGGACATCACGTATAGGTTTTATAAGGTCACAGGAGTGGCGTGTTGGCGTCTGCTTGGTGGAGGCAATTGCCTGCACCAATCAGACGCTAATACGTTACATCCGTTACCTTTTAAAATGTACATGTAAATTTCCAACCTAGTAGCCCTCCAGCTCTACCACGTTTCCCAACCGATAATGCTTGTGGAAGACAGCTCCAGTTGGCCGAAGATGAGATTAGAATGTGGCGCATGGGGTATACATTTCAGTCGATCTCATATTGACTTCTGACTTCTGTTGAGATGCCTGTCCATTCATCCAGCCTCCGGTCGTTTTGAAGGCTTTGTGGCCAAGATTACGGGACGGTCGCTATTCGATGAACCACGACGGTCTCGTTCCAGGAGCAACCTGAGGGAGCGGACATTAACATGGTGGTGTACGCCGGAGCAGTCAACATACTACGAAACATCACCCAAAAAGACCTGAACCCTGCCGACGTTCGGGACTTGAGAGTGGACAGCGTGACAGTAGATGGCAAGAATATAACTGCCACGCTATCGTGGACATGCATGGGTGCCCATCTGGACAGTGGGCGGGGTAAGCGCAGGTCCTAAGAAAGTAGACTTACGACTAAATGAGAATACACAAAGCAAGCAAAGGTAAAAACGAAACACGGAAAGAACGCCTGAAGTCAACGTCTCAAACTCAGCTCAAGCTAGGTTTTGGACCTTGCGTTCATTTGTTCTATTCCTGCTTCTTTCACTTTTAATGGCTTCACATATCTTCACCCAGTCTCGAGTGTTTTAAGAAAATGGTGAACGTTCTCTTCCAATATTTTGATATACTGATAATATATATAAAACGAGTGCTAATTTTAGCGTGTTTTGTTTCTCAAACGTTTCGTGACCACACTTCATTGTATCACTAGAACTCTCTATTATGTTTCATTTCCGCCACGATGTTAAAAACTAATTACCATATAGGAATCTTAGATTTCCATTTGACCTTACAAATGAGACCCACCATGCGCGAGATATTCTTTCAAATATTTTATGAATAACTTCGGATGAGTAAGAACTCATAACTATCCCTTCTTGTTCAAGGCTCGCTCAAGTATGTTAATGATACACGATTCACACATTTCCGATTGGCAGTGAATTTTCCCACTGGTATCTACGCCTGTACAATTTTCTAGGTTCGCAAAACTGTTTCCCTACGGATCCCCAGGTGGCGGGTTCGAATCCCGACCGAGGTGCCCGCAATATGACGGGGGCTTATTGCGGAGAAGGCGCCGTGTAACCGAGCTTTCGGTTGCACGTCAAAAGATCCCCAGGTGGTCGAAATTAATCCTCAGTCCTCCGCTGGGGCGTGCCAGATGCCCGTCGTAGGTTTGGCACGTAAAACCCCCAAATTTTAAAACTGTTTCCATCGCTAGAAATATTGTCCCGTGTTTGATTCTTTTAAATATACTCCATGTTTCGTCCAAAACCCAGACATTAGTAGCCGAACACGAAAACAAAGTCTAGAGAATACCGATTATTTTCGGAGCTGTGTAGGTCAACGTAAACGACAAGGCGACATTAGATATTCTTTAGTCAAGAAAAAGTCGACGCGTGAAACCTTCGACGCATCATTCCGTCTGGTTTCGTGCACGTACTCCTCACAAAACTCCACCACGTCGTCTCTGCACAAAGTATTGAATGAGCACTTCTTCCTTGCAGCCGATCACACCGATTTAAGAGCAAGCTCGGATCCACGCGTATTGCTGCGCAAATTCGAGAAGGCGACTCAAATATCGACGGAGAACCTTTTGGAAGGAACCCTGGTCCCTTTGGATCCCTTAAAGTAAGTACGCGGAGATCTTACGCTGGTAGTGTATACACCAACACAGTGTTTCCAAACAGGCCCTCTTTGCCCACACCAGGTGTGGGCACTAGCTGCGCGTGCGCACAAACCAAAAGTCACGAGGAGTGAAGCGCTTTTTGCGCATGCGCAGTACCGACAGCAGTGCCACCGCAGAAGCGTGACGTCAGCGACTTGTGTTGGTCTATACTTCGTTTCAGCGTAAGTCCACAGACGCAGTCGATGCTCTACGAGAAAATGGGACCAATCAAGAAGAGTCAAAAGTGCAAGTCACTGGGCCTTTTCTGTTTACGATTCGGTCAGCGATGATAGAGTACGTACATGAACATGGAGAACAACATGACGATGCACTTTTGATGCTTTCTGATTGGTCCCATCAGCTCGTCTGGACACTAAGGTGAAACAAAGTTTAGCATTGTTCTTTATCATTACTCGGTTTCGAGATGCTGCTTTTGTGCAAACCGATAGGCCATTTTTCATAAGTCCGCGCCATCGCCTGTCCGCCATTTTTTGATCACGTGCTCCGAGCACTGATTGGACACGAGGACTACGTCAGCGTTCGGAGAGGACTCGGATCCAAATCCCAAAGCAAAAAACCGTGATCATGCTCTCGGTGATTACAGGATGTTTCCACGTCAGATCGTGCAATGATGGTCCGGGTGATATGTTTCTAAAAATTAATGTGAACAAATATACGTTAAATTCATGTTCTTGGTAGGAGCATTCAGGTATAAGCAAACGCCGTAGTTAAGTTTCTTGCTAAGAGAAAAAAATTTCGAAGCTTGAGGCGTGGAGATTGCCAAGATTTCTCACCCCGAAGCATGCACGTAGTAAGAAGGTTTTCTACTCATTTTATGAAAGATTCACGACAAGTACGCCGACTATTGAAGATTACTATAAAAGTGTTTTATGCAACAAAAAAATCTATGAAACACGTCGAATAAAACACGTTTAGAGATGGATTCACACATTATTTACCAACGAACTACTTCGTATAAAAACGACGCAAAGTGCATAAAAATGGTCATGTTTCAATGCACTTTACGAATAGGTAAGAGGGAAAACCTGCTTAGCCGTTATTGCAATTCTAGTATTAGTATAGAAAAGCAACTCATTTTTTCCCATTTTGTTAATATTGCACATCAATATTTAAAAAAGAAAAACTCAACTTTCAGTTTCCTTAACCGTTTACAGTGACATTAATTAACTTGTGTTGGCAAAACATTGAGTGGCCTATGATCTCCTTAAGAAAGAAACGACAACAAACCTACACTCAAATTAAGCTAGCTTCTCCTGGTTTGGGGGCTCTACCGCGCGTCGTTTGAGTATTTGCAACTCCAACGTCCTATAGATGGCGGGGCAGTCGTGCCAATATTAGCCAAGATGGCGGAAGAGACGGAGATAGGTTCTCCGGGATTTCCCGTGCGCCTGCTTGCTGACGCTGGTCAGTGCGCTAAAATTAATTTATTCGACTATAAACACGAAGCGGTCATGGCAGGAGCATATCAGGTGACGCAGATGTCTACGTGACTTAATAAAATGAGCATGTTGATTTATAAAAGTTGCGAAGCGGAAAACAACAATCCCTATTTGAACGCACTCGTTTCTTTTCCGTTAAATCTGCATGGTGCACACGAACACGCCGACCAGAACCATAAGATAACAGCAGAACCAAAGCCGGTAGTTCCTGCCACCGTCTCCGCCGCCATCCCCGCTCCTCTGGTTCTTCGTTCATCCGCGAGGGGGCGAGCGGCGGGCTGGAGATCCAAATAGAAAGTCCTGCTGTCCCTAGCGTAGTGTTATATTTGTTTTCATGTGTTGCCTTTTAACCCCCCACCCCTCCCCTTTTCCCATCCACCCACACACACACATCCACCCACCCACCCACACACGCACACACACACGCACGCACACGCGCACACACGCGCACACACACGAGCACACACAGAGAGAACGACAGACAGACATCCCCGTCACGGGCCATGAGCACACGAAGGGCCGTCGACTGACGCCACTGCTGCCGGCAGTTGAGAACTGTGTGCACAGCACATCACTCTGAATACCAAAGCCCTCACACGAGGAAGGTCTATCACCCCGAAAAACAAGGCGAGGGAAGTAATATTTGGAGAGCCGGTATCTTATCAACATCGTGTGGCGACAAACAAACCACCTTACCCTTTCTATGTATCCATGCGTACACAATGGAATACAGGTAGAACTTGATAACCCCGGGGCTTTTGTTGTTGGCTGTTTCCACGACAGTTGATACAGTGACGGGCAGGGTCACACTGTCTATATTTCTGTTAAATATATTCTATATGAGTCATGTCCTTGGGGCATGACTCAGCTATATCAGAGTGTGTTTTACGAAACGTGGGCCAAATCACTCCTGTGAAAAGTACGCGTCGCACAGAAAAAGGGTTAATGTAATATTGATTCCTGCCGAAGGGAAGATTTAGTAAACCAAATGGTGCTGAATATAATTAGGTTAATAATTACATTTATTGATTAACTTCCTATTTAATAAATTTAAAGGTACCATTTAATTACAAACATGGCGGGCATAATTGAAAACTATTAAAAATTCCACCGATTTATAGAGAAATAAGGAATGCGCAGCCTTTTCCGGAAAATACACTCAGTTTGGACGCGCCATGAACAAAGAAAAACGGGAAAGGGGGAGGGGGTGCTTAGAAGGCAACGCAAGGAAACAAATATAAAAAGATTTTATATATATATATCTTTTACATCGCATGAATGCAATTTCAGAGTGCGACAGTGCTTCAATATGTTCGCTTTCTTTACCCTCAATCTCACTCTCCGAGAAGCCTGGAAGCAGTTGGTATCAATCGCTGCAACCTACAAAGGGTATCCGACCAAAGACCAAGTTAAAAATAAGTTTGGACATTAAAAACTGTTGGCGCTGTGGCACTGAACATGGTGACAAGTCATGGCCGGCGACACAGCGCAGTTTCTAAAGGTCACACGATCCCTGCTGCTTCCATCTGCCACTGGTTTTCGCCCTAGCATCGCGCAAATTTACAACACAGACCACTAGTTAGCAGTTTCAGAACATATAAAGTTTTCAGCAAGTGGTGCCAAAGAATATTCTTTATTTTTTTATTATTCGTTACTCTTGTGTTCTTCACCACCACAGGATTCAGACGGTCCGGATCAGGATTCCTCAAGAACTCGTCTCCCGGACGGGCGGGACGCCAGGTAGCGTCTTTCTGGCGCTACGCACGAACAATTCTCGCTTACAAGTCTCAGCAGTCTCCAACTTTGTCCAACTGGACTGGGACACCTCGTCGGGGGGCTCCGTTGTCGACCCCACCGAAGCGCACCCGCCACCAGCCGTCCGCACTACGGCCTCACCTCGCACTGTAGCACCCGCAGCGACCACACCATACACACCCTCCACGCCTCCAGCTGAACTCAAGGGCCAAGACGAAAAGTCCTCGAGTGGACTGCTGCTGGGCGCCGTCCTCGTTGCCGTGGTGGCGGTCGTTGTGGCGGTTGCCCTCTACGCGCTGATGAGTCAAAGTGGTGTTGTGGGAGCGGCGGGTTCTCACGACGATGCTGAATCGGAAGACGACGAATCTACCGTCGCGTGGTAACTTTTGCAGACAGATTTGGAGTGATCCAAAACCATTCCTTGCTGGCGCTCCTTAACCACTCTACATCTACCTGCGGAGTTTGCCATTACACTTGACAACGCAGTAGGTGTCTGTAGAGTTTAAATAAATTAACAGGATGCGAGGTACATACGGACGCATATCTCGTCTATTTTTTTTAAAGCGCGCGCATCCTCACAGACATTGCTGTTGGTTTCAGGGTATTCGCAATATGACGATGGTGATTATGTTGCGGCTTTCCCCTTTATATCGGGTTTGCTCAAATAAATTGTGTGCTCTAACATAGAAAAACTGTAAACGATTGCTGTCAATTATTTTGCCCCACCGGCCTTGTCTCTGCCGCCTGGATAAACATCAGGCGGTACGCATTGTCCCGCCTTGCTATTCATTGCGCGGATGTGGTGGTCGTGCAGGATATCCCGCCTACTCCGTCTGCTCAACACCACCTATTAGCGGCACGCGCGACCAAAAGCGTTGCTGTGGTCGGCATTCGGGATTGGCCAAACCATAGCTTTTTGTACACTGACAGTGCCTTCCCCATTGCCGATTCACGGCGAGGCAAATCCTGGTCGTGACGTCACGAACGGAAACCATAGGGCACCACCGGTACATCTCGGAGCTAATACTAGGGAGTTTTAGAATAACGTACGCAATTTTAGCGCACGCTAGCGCTAAATTTAGCGCTTGTATTAGCGCACGCGACGCGAAAGAGTTTTAGAATAGCGTTTCTCCGGTCGCGACGCAAAAGCCCAAGCATCTCGCGCTTGCAACGCCACCAAGACACAATGGTCCAGAGTAATATTTTAGATTTATTTAAACGTGAGAATGCGACGCGAGCGGTTGACCGGTCGTGTCCGCTTGCGTCGCCTCGGCAAGAGAGGTCTCGTGTACTGACCTTCGCACATCGTACCTTCGCCGAGAAATGTTCGCGCGTCACAAGCATCAAGCTGTCGGTGATCGTTAGCAAACCGAGTACAATGCCGTCCCGTGTTGAAAATCGCAGCCGCGAGGATGCCGCCGACGTCGCACTCACGACGTCGCCAAAGCAGCCGCTGACATAATCCTGGAAGCCGCCATCTTTTTTCAACTCTGCTCGTCTTGGCTTTAGCCAACTTCTCATCACGAATCCTCCTTGGAGAAGCGCAAAAAATCTTTGCGTACGCACGCTATTTCCGAGAAATAGCGCACGCTAAATTTGCGCACGCAAAGCGCAAAATCTGGTTTGCGTTCGGAGCATGCGCAGTGGCGACGACGCTATTCCTTGCGCACGCAAAGCTTTAGCGTGCGCTATTCTAAAACTCCTCACCCTAGCGGTCCCACGACGGCCATCTTGAACAAGCCATTAGTTCAACCACTAGATGGCGGCACTCATCCGTGTGGCCAGAAAACAGGCTCGCGGCAGTGATGTTTCTCCTCTACTCTTAATTTTTTTCCTTTCTGCTGCTCGTCCTTGCACGTTCAGCGGTCAGCGCGTACTCCCGCTGACAGAAATGCCAGTAAACGTGCCAGTGGTGCTAGCAGTGCCCAGTTTGCACAGAAGCGGAGCCCAGCTATCTCATCGCCCCTATTGAAAGTGCCTAGCTGGGCAAAATTTGTTCTATGATACTGGCTTTGTTCCGCGCTGCAGGGTTGGCAAAGCGATTTCGTTAGAGGCTCACAAGACAGTAGCTATCGTTTTAACTATTCAAGAATTAAAAACATAGTCAATCAATCTGTGAAGAATGTTATCAAATGTTAAAGAACATATATAATACATGCCTTGTCAGCATTTCGTTAATGAAAGCTTTTGCACGACATAAACTTTTAAATTCATTTTCGCTGTAATTCAGAGCGCAGCCGATATAATAGGTCAATGAGGCCAATCAAGCAGAGCCAGAAAACACTATGTCACGGAGCTTAACGTCTTATAGTGCGTTTGTTGTTACCGGTCAAAGCAATCGAGGACACCATGCACCATGGCCTTGCGCTTTTAGTAGGCGTGTTTCTGCTTGTGTACCTCATGTCTTTGACTGCATTTTGATTCATGATAAAACAAGCAATAGCAGACTTTTTTTTCAAGACGGGTGTTAAGAAGGGTGCTCTTATAACTTATCATTTTGATGATAGTTTGATTAAACTTGATTACCATTATCTGACCTTAAAATAACTACCCCAATATTGTTGAAATAGTACGCCGAGGTCGAATATTCTGCATGTTCAAGAAAAGAGTAAAGCGTTTTTTTTAGCCCCAGTGACCTCAACTTAAAATTTGTTAGGCGAGTGGGTAGCAGATTTGTAGTGCTTTTAAGTTTTTTCATGAATAATTATGTCGATTCATAATTTGAGGTTTAAAGAAATATACCAACGTCTTACATATATCTTTATATATATATTTTCTGTTTGAATGCAGCAAAAATGGAGAATTGTACAGTAACGCTGACATTGTATGTTATAGTCGGATGCAACCTGAGAACAATCTTTTAGCTCCACCCAAAAGCGCATTGCGCCCATCTGAAGTGCCTCCGCCGTCGAGAAAGTAGTTCGCTAGCCACGTTGCTTTTTCTTCCTCCAAGAAACGTGTCTTAAACTACTACAATATTTATTTAATTCATTCAGGACATTTAAATAGGTTAGAATACGTTTTTGTCAACGAAATAGCTTTTTAGTAAAGAAAGAAAGTCATGTCCAATGTACCGTCTTCCCAATTCATTTTCTGTCCAAGATACTGTCTAACATACCGTCTTCCAGCTCTCAGCAGTGCTAAGCCATGCGCCCGCTTCGAAATTTTCGTTGGCGATAGCGTCGCTGGATTTTCACGTAGTCGCGCAAACACTGCTGCAAACGCAAGCCGATACCATTAAGATTTCGTGGCGTAACCTCGGGCACGTAAAACACGGTGCAAAAAAGCAGAATAATTGTCACGAGAAACTAGCGTCGCGTTGCTAAAGCCAGCAGCCATGTTGAGCTTCTTTTTTTTTTTTTCAAAAGGATCGCGATTGGTCCACGGAATCGTGACGTCATGAAAACGATTGGCTGGCGTTTCTCGGCGTAGGATTACATTTTCCTCTGAGAGGCATTTCCGGTTTTTTCTTAGCTTGCAACCGACTATAATGAATGTGATCTAAATGATGTCGATGTGAATGATTTCTTTTTGAAACCTTTGATGATGTTGACATTAACTGTTGTGACTACGATGCTCAGCTAATGTCAATTTGGTTACTTTATGTATATTTGCTTTTTATGCTGACGCTGGGGCCTGGTCAGAAGACTTTTTGATGCGAAAAGATTATTTGCCCCATTAAGCAAAAATATGGCGGCGGCGTCGGCGCCATGACCGAGCGATGGTTACCAAAAATGGCCGACGCCGCAAAGAGTAAAGACACGTTCGAAGTGCTCGGATTGACGTCACAGTTTTCACGAAGGTTCCCACAAACAAAGTAAATGAATGGCTTTGGAAAAAAAACTTTGGTACATTTCGGTCTGGGTGGGAATCAAACCCGGGCCTCAGGGGGGCGAGGCGGGCACGCTTCCCCGACAACACAGCTTCACGGTCCTGGTTGACTAAGGTGTGCCTACTCTGTGCGTCATTTTTGATGTGTATTTGATATGTTTTTGAGAACAGTCGAAAGACAGCCACACTCACAAATTATTACTTCAGCCACAGAAGCAAACAGGTTCGTTAATATTTTCCAGAAATAGGGAACTCCTCTGATTGTTCACAATAGACCTATTGCTAAATTACCCAAGCATCAAGGAGAATGCAGGAAATGGTGTTCCACGAACCGCACGTGCACGCCTTCCCCGTAAAAAAGATTTGAAGTAAATAACCAAAATAAATCATTAATGAAAGCGCGTGCATAGTGCCATTTGTTTTAGGTTTTTTCTTAAGGACAGTTACTGCCGCAGACGCCAGCACGTGCGGCGCTTGGAACACCATTCCTTGCATTCTCCTTGATGGCTGGGTAGTTTAGTAATTGATCGATTGGCGAAGTGAGCGATCAAAAGCGCCGCTGTAGTCGGCCCGGCACAATTGGCCGATTGCGGATTATGAAGTCAGCAAAGGATGTCTCATTGTCGGAAATAAGAGGGATGTAAGAACAATTTTGACGGTGTTGGCACTGTTGCTTTGAGAGCGCTATGATTTCAAGCTTCCACCTGCTCATTACAAACACCATTGAACTTGTTGTTCACAAGGTAATGACGTCACGAAAGGTAACCAAACGAGGGCGCCACCGAAACATCTCGCCGATAAAAGGCTCACCTGCGCTAAACGGACAATCGCATGGCGTTGAAGTGGCTAGGCACATATAACCTTCTCCACTTCGTTCGAGTCACACATCTTGCCCCTACAGTTTACTTTAAGTCAAATTTTCACCTAAATTTTGCCTTCATACAGGTGGACTCGTACACATCTGCGTACGGTGCAAGCGTTAAATGTTTACTTTTTTGTTTGTCAACATTTAAAGGATTAAGTGGTTAAACATTTAATCGCGATTAAATAATTAATTGATTCATTGGTAGGTTATTAGATCAAGTGCCCAGACCTAGCTATAACGCAACGTAGGAAAACATGAGCAAATATCTTTGTGTGAGTGGACATAGCCTCCATCAACAGTTTGAAGAGAAATGGCCCGGCTAGAGTGAACAGGCGCGATCTCTAACGGCCCTTGCACCGGGAGTAGTTGCCCTCTGCGGCGGCAGCTTGGAAGAGTCGCTGTAACCCTACCGCTCCTACAAAGCTTTAATTCCTTCTGAGAGACACGTCCTCCTCACCGTGCTGTCCTCTTTGCTCCGGGGTTGAGTTGGATAAGTTTCTAGAGTAATCAGACCTACAGGTCATGAGGCCGGCTGCCTTCAGGGACTTGTGCGGAACACGTCTTTCTCTTTGTCTCCTTAAGAAACAAGTTTGTATTGACAAGTGTTTAATTATTGTAAGCCGACACTTATTTCAAACGGCTCACTACAGTTATTTCAAACAAGTATAATTCCACACATTTTTGATCGCAGTTGTCGGGGAACAGTTGTTCAGAATGGCTCAGGTTGCGTTGGACATGGCTGTGTGGTCGCACCCCCACGCGGCTCGAGAAGTCCCATTGCTCCTTGGCGAGAGTGAAGGCCACAAGGAAACCGCTCTCTAGCCCGGTCATGGAAGAACATGTCAGGGCAGCACTGAGCATTTCGCTTGATTTTATTTCGCGACACTCATTGCGGGGTTCCCAAAAACGAAAGGGGAGCGCAGGGAAACATTACGAGTTGTGATCCTGGGCCGGCTTGCTAGAACAGCGTCTCAAGACAGTCGCGCGCCCCAAACTTTGCTCTGCTTTTTTTCACTCAGTCTCAGCTGAGACTGAGTGAAAGAAAGCAGTGCAAACGGTGGGGCGCGCGACTGTCTTGAGACGCGGCTTAAGTCCCGCACAGCTCGAGCGCTGGCTTTGGCATTGATTTCTTTCCCACTGTCTCAACTGAGACGCTGTTTCTAGCAAGTCGGACCTGGCTGCTTATAATAAGTTGCAAAGGACAAGAGCCATGGTTGGTGTAAAACGCAAAGAGGAAGCTTTGAGTCGTTGCATTATTAAACCAACACCATGAAAGTTGAT